CCACACTCCCCAGCAGCGCCTAGTGAGACAGTACTGAGTGTTTTAGATAAGAAATCATTAAATGTTGAGCTGTATTGGAACAGGAAGGGGAAAATGAGGTTGGAAATAGCGTGGCCAGGCCTCATTAACAAGATACCTGTCTTGGCCGAGGAGTTTCTGATCTTTTCTCAATTATTCCTGTTTCCCCAGGATCTGTTAGGTTGTGGGTTTGTTTGGGTTTTTTTTATAAGGAACATGGCTGGTCTGCACATGTCTGGCATGTTTGTATTAAATCGGGGGCCTAGGAACACCCTTTCCTCTGTCACCTGAGAAGAGCAGCATCTACCATCTCAGCAAGGAGCTCTGCTGCCAACGCAGCAGACACCCTTCTATCAGAACACCTCAACCCAAATCCCCAGTGTTTCTTGCTCTTCTTGTCCTACTTCAGGGAGCCTTACAAAGGCTCCTTTCTACTGTGCTACAGTCACGGCTGCGCTAATCTTGGCGCAGCACAGTTTTGCTGGCACATGTGCTGCATCCCTTGCTGTTCTGTCCTGGCCTCATGCAGGTCTGGCAGGGCAAGGTTTGACCTTTTGCTGGAGTGTAGGTTTTGCAGGTATCTGTTGCTACTTTTTCAGAAGAGAGATTAGTTCCCTTATGCCTCTTCTGATGGCAGGAGAAGAAATAGCTTTGGTATCACAGGAGAAGGTAGAAGCTAGACACTGTTGATATTGCCAAGGTGATCACTCTGGATGCCTCTCTATATAAGAACTTTAAGGTTAAATAGGGGAAGGAATTCAGTGGAATAGTAAGCTGAATAGCTGGGAGAGCATGGGAGATGGAGAGAAGTGAATTTGGACAGAGTTGTATCACACTTCCATTTCTAGCCCATCCTTGAGCTAGCATTTTTCATGCTTCCAATACCATGCCCCATCAGGGGCTGTTGGGTGCCCAGTTCAAAGCAGATACATCCCCCTTCGGCCTGATCCTCATCCCCCAAAAATCAGCTGTGTGAGCAGTGGGTCTGCAAGGTCTCACTTCATACTGGCTTGTGTTTTATGGTGGGGTCTTTGGTGTCTCTTCAAGTGCAGGCACCAGGGAAGTTCTTCTAGGGTCAGGATGCGCAGAATCTCTCCCTCCTGTATCAGCTCTATGATTGCCAGCAGGGGCTGAACACTGCAGGCTGTTCCTCAGTAAGGATGACAGGATTTCTCTGCACGGCTACATATTTTGGTGAAACTTGCAGGTACTTTGATACTACTGTGAGGAAACTGAACTGAAATGTGTGGAGAGAAAGTTGGCAATGGCAGTGTTGGGTGGGCTTCATTGCCTCTGGTACCGGGCTGCAAACATTACCAGAGCTGAGTCTGACTGGCTGTTTCTCAGCCTCCACCAGTAACATCGGAGGTTGTGGGAAATGATTTCCCGTGTCATCCTCTGCAGGTGACCCCCCCGATCCCAAGCAGTGTGTGCCTGGGCCTTCATTCATGTGACAGTTGTTGCTCTGTTGCAACCTAGGTTTTCTCCCTGGAAGAATTCTGTATTTCATAATCACCGTCGCCAACATAAAAATATAAACAAAAGACAAACTTTGCCCTGTAGAACATGGGTGTTGTCTCAACTCAGCTATTAATAGCACTCAGAGTTACACTCTATTTAATGCTGCAGAAAGGTATCTTGATGTTGGAGATTGTGTGAACAGCCACAGTTTGCTGAGTGGTCTCTTTTTGTCCCAGTAGTACTGGCACAGTGAATAACCACAAATCATGTACACTCATTTTCATACATAACCATAAGGTGTCTAGAATCTCTCTCAGCAGTATTAGGGCTTTTCTGACATTTGGGAGCATGGTTCTTGGTTGCTGTTTTTTTTGAAGCTTCAGCTGCTGGAATCCAGGGATTGCACGAGGGTCTTTCTGTCACTCAGATAAAACCCCAGACATTTCTCACTCTCACGATTGTACAGAAAAAAAATGGAAAATACTATTTGGAGTTACCTGAAGGCTAAGAAACTGGGAGGAAAACGAAAGGAACCCCCAAATTATTTTGTTTAAGATCTCCTCTGCCCCCACATCCCCATGGCTGTTGGGGAAAACTGGCTCAGAGACGTTGGAGGAGGTGAGTGGTAATTTGCATCTAAACTGTTTTGGTCCTCCTTTGATTGACTCCAAAGGAATTATGTATATTCTCACATATAAAGCCCTCCACACTCCTGCCTTTGCCTCTGTCTCTGCAGGCATCTCCAGCACCCCCCACTCCCACTCTCTGATCAAAGCTTCCCCTCTTCTCCTTTCATCATTTTTGCGTGCTTTAGACTCTGCCTCCTCTGCTGCAGCGCATGCCCAGAGCCACCTTCCAGTCAAACATACTTTGAGTTCTGCGTGCCTTTTCCATCAAGAACCTTTGGTGACTACGTGGGAGAGTCAGGTTCTGATGCTTGTGGCCTCTGTTCAGTTTGTATTGTTTAACATGTGCAGCTGGGCACACAGCTAACCCTGATGTACCACAAATCGGGGAGGGAAGTACAGGTATTTGTGATACTCAATGTACAAATATTAAATGAATGCCCAGAGAAGAGGAGGTTGTGCCTGTACCACATGTCCCCAGCATTCTTCTGGCCTCCAGCTGTTTCCAGCTCAGGACCCCCCCGCTCTGGATGCGTAGAACTGTGTCATGGTTTAATCTCAGCTGGCAACTAAGGCCCATACAGTCACTTGCTCACGCCCTCTCGGTGGGATAGGGGAGAGAATCAGAAGGGTAAAAGTGAAAAGACTCTTGGGTTGAGATAAAGACTGTTTAATAGGTAAAGCAAAAGCTGTGCATGCTAGCAAAGCAAAACAAAGAATTCATTCACCACTTCCCATCGGCAGGCAGGTGCTCAGCCATCCCCAGGACAGCTGGGCTCCATCAGGTGTAACGGTGACTTGGGAAGGCAAATGCCATAACTCCAAATGTCCCCCCCTTCCTTCTTCTTCCCTCAACTGTATGTGCTGAGCATGATGTCTTATGCTATGGAATATCCCTTTGGTCCGTTGGGGTCAGCTGTCCCAGCTGTGTCCCCTCCCAACTTCTTGTGCGCCCCCCCGGCCTCCTTGCGGGTGGGGTGGTGTGGGTGGCAGAAGAGGCCTTGGCTCTGTGTGAGTGCTGCTCAGCAGTAGCTAAAACATCCCTGTGTTATCAACACTGTTTCCAGCACAAATCCAAAACATAGCCCCATGCTAGCTACTGTGAAGAAAATTAACTCTACCCGGTCTAAAATCAGTGCAAGCTGTCCCTGAGAAGAGGATGGACTATCTCAGGAGAAACTTGGAGTGGAGACTAAGAGCTGGCTGGGTGTCTCCTCCCCTTCTTTTGCAAGGTTTTGAAGGGTAGACTGGGGAGATGAGACTTGTGGTGTCTGTAGGGGGCTCCTGTTTTGTCGTGGAAAGCTGCTTGAAAAGCCACAGAGTGTGATGGGCAATGGCCGAACCCACCGGCACTTGGGGTTTCAGTGCTTTTTGTTGGTCTTGCCATGGGCTGGTCTCTTCTGTCTGTGGAGCCTTTTTCTGCACTGTAGTTCATCGACAGGAGAGACACAACTGGTTTGTGATTGGGTCCCTCTGCCAAAGCTCCTGGGACATCCACGGATCAACAGCCAGCTGCCTGGATGGATGGATGGATGGATGGATGGGTGGATGGATGGATGGATGGATGGATGGATGGATGGATGGATGGATGGATGGATGGATGGATGGGTGGATGGATGGATGGATGGATGGGTGGATGGATGGATGGATGGATACAACCAGGCGGAGCCGTCAGGACCGTGTCTCGACTCTGCACCATGCCTTATGCCTTCCCACACAACTCATACGCCACCCTGCAGCCCTGGGGGTCATCGGTGGAACGGATCCGATTGGCATCATCATGTTTAGCCACCTAGAAGAGAAGAGAGTCAAGGAAAGCGTCATGTTTAAGGAACCCAAACCAACCCACAACCACCCTGCATCACAAAACGCCGGTGACAGCTCCCTGCAGCGCTGACACTGCGCCACCGTTGTTCGGTGCTCTTGCAGATTTTATCCCAGGATCACAGGGACCTGCGTGGTAAGGTTGCTGGTGTGGTCCACCCTTATTCTCCAAAAGGGGCTTGATATCACCTAAATTCCCCCCCAAGGATGCCTGCCCAGCCCGTTCTTAAAAATCTCCAGTGATGGAGACTCCAGTGCTTCCTCAGGCAGTCTACTTGAGTAATTAACTGTCTGTTCTGTTAGAAAGTGTTTCCTAATGTCTAGCATCAATCTCGCTCCTTGCAATTTAAACCCCATTACTCCTCACCCTATTCCCCAGTGGACACGGCAAATGATTGATTCCTTGTCCTCATTGCATTGCTCTGCATCCCCAAGAGAGAAGGTCTCGGGCCAATTTATGACATTGCTTCTGCCTGTGGAGGTGGCTCTCCTGAGCACGGTCACGTCAGCACAGGGGAAAACAGAAAGGAAAGATCTTTTGGGGTTGGGGGGTTGGCACAGTGCACTGCTAGAAATGAGACCCTTAGAAAACACCTCGGTCAGTGACGGCTGCGAGCTGGAAGCAGGGGAGCACGGCAGTAGGGTGGATTTGTGGCACGTGCCCCCCATGCTCTCCTACTGTGCTGGGGATGACCGCAGCACCCATGGGTGCTGGGGGGCTGCGGGCTTGCTCAGGCGGGGAGGGCAGCTGCAGCCTCACCAGCGGGACTTGGGGTGACAGGGGAGAGGTTTGACCCATCGCAGGGGACCCCTCCTGGCCCAGACCTGGCCTCCTGGCCCCTTCCCTCCCCCCCTCCGGTGCCTTCCCACCCCACTGTCCCGGTAGCCCGTGGGGCTGCCCTGTTGTGTCCGGCCGTGCCACCACGTCGCTTTGCGTAACCGGAGCGATGCAGCCCCCCGGGGGTGTCCCTCGTCCCTCCCGGCCCCCCCCACAGACTCGCTCCTTTAAGCCTAGCTCAGAAATGACCAGGCTGATCCCTCCCACCTGCCCGCTCCCCCCTGGCCTGGCCCTGACGTCAGGGGAAGGCGTGTGGATGCGTGTGTGTGCGAGGCGCACATCATAGCCACATCAGATACCGCAGATCCATCAGCAGGCAGCCGGCAGGCAGGCAGGCAGGCAGTTGGAGAAAGCCCCCCCCAAAGCCGGGCTGCAGGCAAGACCACTGCTCCTCGCAAGGTAGCGGAAGAGCCTTCGGCCCCGCCGAGCACCGATGCTTTGCAGAGCGCAGCTCCAGGGAGCCCGTCACTGCTGAGGAGGTAAGGGGAGGCACAATGGCCATCCAGCTTGCCTGGGCTATTGTAGCTGGAGGTTAAACTTCACACGCTGCCTGTTTCTTTCAAACCTCCTTTTCCCTTTTGGCGGCGGAGAGGTGCGAGGGTGAAGCGCGACTTCCCTCCTCCTCCTCCTCCCGTTTGGTTATTCCCCACCAGCCTCAGGAACAATAACTCCTCTGGGGGTGGCGGTGGCCGCATTGCACGCCTGCTGTGGCTGGGGGGGCAAGTAGCCTGGGCTTTGCCAGGGAGGGCTGAGATCAGCTGGGACCCAGCTCTCTGATTGCCGGGTGAGGGGGAGGCGATTTGTAAAAAAAATTAAAAAAAAAAAAAAAAAAAAAAAAAAATCTTACTAAACCAGGCTGACAATGATGGGGGCTTGAATTGGGGTTTCTCTGGGACTGGCTGCACTGTTCATTCCTGCAGGCAAGTTAGATCCACAAAGGAGGAAGGAAGAAAGGACGCAGACGAGGACATTTGCACCACGTCTGCGAACAAACACTATTCTAATTTTAAATAAAACAAAACACAACAAAACAACCAAATCCCACGAACTTGGTATTTGGGAGTGATGATTATGCATATATGCTTAAAAGGTAAATCCAGCCTCCATGATGGCTTCTCCCTTTGCATCTGGCAGCCTGTTTGCCCTCCCCCATGGCCTCCCTGAGAATTGGGCAGCCCAGCACTGACTAAGGGAGCTTTTTATAATCGATCCATAAAGGTGACATTCATATTTTAGCGCTAAGCAGGCTGTATCGTAGGCGAGACTATCTCAGCAAAGATCCCTGGAGTTGTGAGCGTGATTGGCTTAGCTGGGGAGGGGACGCTGTCAGTGTGTATTCCCCCAAAACCGCCTAGTTTATTTTTCCTGTAGTAATTTGCCTCAGCAGAGGGTTTTTTAACGTGCAGGGTAGGCAAAGAAATCGCTTTGCTTGGTATTTAACTCTTAACAGCGTGATCTGGTAACCAAAAAAGGGAGGGGGGTGCTGAGAGGCTTTCATTAGCATCGGACAGAGACGGCATCTATAAAAACCTGCCAGGCACCGAGGCTGTGAGCCTGCTCTGAGGAAGGGAGGATGGAGGAACGAAGCCCGGTGAGCGTTGCAGTGGCCCTGCTTGTGGTAACCCTTGCCTGGAGCCATCCCGGTTCCCCAGCACAGCAGCCCCCTGGGAGATGCCGATTCGGGATCTCTGCTGGCCACCGTGATGTTGTTGGGTCCCTCGGCACACGAGTGTGCCAGACGGCTGAAAAATGGGGTTTTTGTTTTTGCATCAAGCTCTGGGGACACGCTCCCGCGTCTGGAGGGGTGTAGCTCTTCTCCGTTCCAGCCCGTGTCTAGACAGGCTGGGTCTGGGGGGGCATCAGCCTCCCCGAGGGTGGTAGCAGGCCAGAACATCGTTTTCCCTGCTCCGTGGTGTGAGGAGATGGCTGCCGGCAGCCAGCTGCGGAGACGGGGTGTCTTTTTGATGTACAGAGACCTTTTTGATACTGGGGTGGAAGGAGCGGGAAGGTAAACCTGACTCCTAAACTGGGGCCATTGGCAGTTGTGAGGGATGGAGAAAACGCGATGGCGAGCGGGAGGGAAGAGCCTGTGCAGGAGCTCGTTAGAAAAGGCAGCAGAGGGAAAATAACCTCCAGCTCCTCAGCTGAGGCGGGTGGGGGGGGGGAGCGGTGGCACTTGGGAGACCGGAACGCGATGCCGACAGCATCCGAGCTGGGGATTTGCAAAGGGACGTGGCGGCGTGAAAGGAAAATGCCCAGAAAGGTGACGGTGGGCCGGCCGAACGGTCGTGTCCAGAGCCGGAGCGTGACAGCTGCCGGCAGAGCAGCCACCCGTCCGTCCGTCCGTCCGTCCATCCTGCGCAGCCTGGCGGTTCCGGCGGATGGGAAGGAGCACAAAGAAGCGCCCGTGCGGGAGGGCCGGCTCGCCGAGAGCGATTAAGCCAATTAAATATGTATTTCCCCCGCCCGGCCGAGGGATGCGCGAGGGGTTTTTCTTCGCTGCCGCTAATGAACGGGGAGTGGCAGACAGAGGCTGGTGCCTCTTCAAAAGGCTCCTTCCCCCCTTCTGGGGGACCTTGAAAGGCTGTTTAGTTAAACAAGGTCACAGCCAGCACCCAAGTCAATGTGTTTGGCTTTAAAGAGAGGGAGAGAGACAGTGATTTTATTTGATAAACGGCAGACCTTTCAGTGGCTGGTGATGAATGGGGTACTTGGATCTCGAGATAAAAGCTGATGTGTCTACTGCCTGTCTGCCTTAATTGGCCTGGGTTTCCTGCGTTCGCCTGTGAGCGCTCCCGACTGTCAGCTCGACTGGGAAACCTGCCCTCCGAAAAACAGAAAAGCAAAGCTGGCTGCCGCTGCCGAAGGAAACCCTGTCACCAGAGGGCTCTGGGGTTTTGCTCCGAGACGATTTCTTTGGGGGGGGGGGGGGGAAAGACAGACAGGGTGTGAGGTGTTTTTTACGAAAAGCATCCTTCCAAGGAGCCCTGGCCTCGGTGCAGCTTACACACATCCTCGGCTCGGAGGATCGTCAGCCCCGGGACACCCCCGGAGCCAAGCCACTGAGGGGAGATGGGGAGGAGTGAGGTGGAGGCCCGGCAGCAGCCGCGATGCCGGGGGTTACGCCAGAAAGGCTTTCCATGCCCAGCGGCAGAGCCGGGCTGCTGCAACCTCTGCTCGCCTCCTCAAGCGACCTGGATTTTGCTCCTGCGCTGTGTATGTGTGTGGGGTGGACATGGTGTCGTGGGTGGTGTCTGCCAGGCCGGGAGGGACCCTGTGTGGGGGAGAAATGCTGTCGGCCCTGGCAGAGGTTAGCGTGATCACTGGTGATGGAGGAGATGGGGAGAATGCCTCCTGTGCCCCAGGTGCTCCCTCCTTGTTGCCTCCTGGGGCTGCAGCGTGGAGAAAGGGCTGGGGAGAGAATGGTGGGGTGGAGCACAGGGCGGGGAAGAGAAGGACAAGAGAGGCTTTCCCTGCTCTCCAGCTGGGCTGGGAGGGGACGAGACTCCAGCGAGGACATGCCATCTTCTCTCAGCCCGCTTTTGCCATGAGTTTAATTTCCTCAGTCCCTTTGTTTGCTGTGGGGATTTAAATGATGTGGCAGGCAGGAGCCCACCCCAGAGCCCTGCGTGGTGCCAAAGCTCCCGCTCAGCCTCAGCTTCCCCAGCACCTGCAAAGCCGGGTGCACAGCCACCGGGCTCCAAGGCTGACCCACAGATTTGGGGTGCTTGCTGGGCCAGGCGCTGGAGAGGGGCAGAGCGCTGCTGGCCGTGGGAGCCAGCCTTGGCGTGGCCGCAGGATGGGGGGGATCTGCTCCAGCCCCTGTTTCAAGCAGGAGTTAGGCGCAATGCCTCAGTTAGAGCGGGCTGCTCAGGGACGTGTCCGGGGGGGGGGGTCGCATACCCCTAAGGACAGGGATTCCACAGCCTCGCTGTGCCCTGACCCCGTGCTCATCCCAGTGAGCTGCCACCCCGTGCCAGAGCTCTCCCCCGCATCAGAGCCCCCCCAAAGGGCCTGCAGGCGATCGTGTCCGGCTTTTTCTCCTGCGTGGGGCAAATGGCAGCCCCAGGAGGGCACCCTCCGCTGCTGCCCTGGGGCCTCAGGAGCGGGCTGTCTGCCTCTTCCCCCCCCCAGCGATGCCCGTCGTGCTCCCGCTCCCCGCCACCGCTCGTCCCCTGAACTAGGGAGCCTTCAGGGCACCCCAGCCTGAGCTAGTCCCACAGGTGTACCCCGGCCACTTCATCTGCCCACCCTGTTTTGTCCCTGCAAGGCTCCCCGTCCTGCACACCCCTTTCCCCTTCGCCTCTTATTTTTCTTTCGCCTCTGGGAAACTTCCATTTTTCCAGGCCCTTGTGGACCTGTCAGAGGAAGCTCTTTCTCCTGGCGCCAGCCAATCCCCTCAGCATACTAATAGTTTGCTCCAAGCATCGTTATTCAGGTTAAATACCCTCCATTGTCCCTAATCTGGTGGGGGAACCAAAAGGCCTTGTCAGCAAAAGCGCGCACAGAGGAGGCGCGCCGTGATGAAGCCATTTTCATAGTGGCGGCTCCATGATGTGGCAGAGGACCGAGGGCTGCCTCCCCCCAAATCATCCCGCTCATCCAGCCCTGACACGCCCTGGGAAGGTGCCAGATCCTGCAGCGACGCTTGGGGACCGCATCGCTTTTTGTTGCCCAAAAGCGGCCAGGCTGCTCGCCGGCGCAGGCGGGGCGGCCAGACTGGGGGGGGGGGGGGTGGTGTGGAACAGATGGGAGCAGAGAAGCAGCTTGGTGGCTGCTCCGGCTTTTGGGTGTCTTGCTTGGGTGCTCTCTGAGCCTCTCCGAGCTCCTCGGGCGAAGGGGAAAGGGCTGGCGAGCCTGAGCCTGGGAATGGGAGGAGGAGACGCTGAGCCCAGTGTGCCGGGAGCCGAGCAGCCCCGGCGCAGGGTGGGCCGTGGAGCAGAAGACGGGCGCGTGTGCTCCAGTTGCTCCGTGGCAGAGAGGAGCTGCTGAAGCGCAGGAAGGGTTTGGTGCAGGGACAGATGGGAGGACAACGAGGGGAGAGATGTTTCGGAGGGTTTTGTCGACACTAATGGATGTTGTCTTGAAGGGCAGGAGGAAAGGGGAGGCTTCTGTCTTGGGGTGGGACTCCAGTGTGGCCTCTGCTGCCTGGACCTCAGGGCGAAGGTCTGCAGGGCTGAGAGGGGGCAGCTGTTAGGACAGTAGCTGAGGCACGGATGGGCACCAAAGGTGGAGTGGCAGCAGTCAGGACACGGCGGCAGGCAGACCCCCTGGCAGAGGAAGCAAGCGGAGGTGGGCAAGGGGAACAAGAGTCGCCTGGTCCCTCCCTGAAACTTCAGCTGCTCTAGAAACCTTTTCCTATGTCCTTGGTGCCTGCTAATTTCAGAGCAGAGGTGACCCCCTTTTGCATGTCCCCCCAGGGCCTCTGCGTCTCAAGGGGCCGCGGATGAGTCAGAAACCAAATTAAATATTCTCTGGGTTTCCCAGTGTGTGCAGGTGTCGTCCCAAAAGATGCCACACACCCCAGCAGGGCGGGAAGGGCTGGAGGGGGTGGCTGGGCAGGGGACGGTAACTCCGTGGGATGTCGGGCTCCCCAGCTCCGGGTGGTGGGGAAACCCCTGAGCCGTGATGGAGATGGGTGAACCCCCACCCAGCATCCCCAAAGAGCAGTGCCCCCAAGCAGCCGCCGGCGTGGGGTGGCCCCGAGACAGAGGCACCCACCATGAGATGCAGCAACTGATGGGAAATCAGCAGAGCAAAGGCTTTCTGAGCAAGTGTCTGCAGTGCTGATCACGCACCAGAGCTGGGAGGCCTTAAATTGCACCTCTCCCCCACCCAAATTCATGCTCAGGGTGGTTGGGCAAGATCAGCTGTGCCCACCCTTGCTCTGGCTGCTGCTCTTCAGCAGGTTACCTGGCTGTCAGGCTACTTCTTGTACATTCTCAGGCAGCCAAAGCTTGCAGGGTTTCTGCCCCTTGGGGCTTTAACTCTTTGCAAACTGCATGATGACAGCCAAAAATGAGCCCGACGACTGCAATGGCAGGAGGCTGTGCTTGTGTCATGGCTCATCTGAGGTGCACAAGGCGGGTGTGTGCTGCCAGCAGCCCTGCGACAGCCTCCCGGTGTCCCTTCCCTGTAGGGTTGTGCCCGGGCAGGCAGTGAGCCACTGGCTGGGGTCAGGGTTGGGCCCTAAATCCCACAGCATGGAGGCAGCCACCAGTGGTGGGGTGACCTCAGACCCCTGACCTTGACCTGCCTATCGTCTCAGTCGTTTTCCTTCACCCTTTTAGCAGAAATCTTGTGCTGGGGGGGGCAGATCTCAGACGCCGGGGCTGGGGGCCTGGGTGCACTGGCACAGCACGGGCATCCTTCCCAAAATGGTTCCTGCCCCTGGCAGCCCGTGCTCAGCTGTTCCTTCTCCCAGGGCGTGCTTTTTAACACCTTCATATCTAATACGTGGGATTATCCTGGAAAATGAAAGACAGAGACACAAACCCAGCTCTTTCCTTCCCGTAGAATTGATTTGTTGGAACATCCTGGCTTGCTCCAAGCTGGGATGGGCTTCTTGGGGTGATTCCCAGCACCAGGGCTTAGTGCCCAGTACCGAAGCCCGGCAGCATCCCAGAGACGCGGGGTCAGGAGCAGAGGGGGCAATTCCTGACAGCAAACTGCCCCCACCAAAAGCCCTTGCTGGGAAGCCTGTAACCGCCCCCGGCTTCGCTCCCCAGGTCGCAGGCAGCAGCCCCACGTGCCTGGGCCCCCTTTCTTCTTGCCGCCTGACCACCCGTCCCCAAAACGGAGGAGCCCGCCGGCCCCACCATGTCGTCGGACCCCAGCGCCCCGCCGGCGGTGCCGCCGCTGCACTCCCCCAAGTCGCCGGTGTGGCCCACCTTCCCCTTCCAGCGGGAGGGCAGCCGCATCTGGGAACGGGGCAACCTCCTGCTGCGGGACCTGCCCAGCCCCCTCCCCACCAAAAGGACCAGGACCTACTCGGCGTAAGTAGCCGGCACGTGGCGAGTGGGCTTGGGGCTGCCCGGCTGAGCCGAGCAGGGACCGTGGGCACCTGCGGAACCGTTTCCACCTGATGCCCATCGCCGCAGCGCCTGGCATCGCCGCGGTCGCCCGCCCCGGGGGTGCTGCGGGTGGGTGCCCTGCCCTCGCCCAGGGAACGCCGTGTTTTGGCAGCAGACCTCGCCCCGCGCTGCCCGCCGGGCGAGTGCCGCCGGTGAGACATCGCCGTCCCCCCTCTCTTCCCGCAGGACGGCGCGCGCCTCCGCCGGCCCCATCTTCAAGGGCGTCTGCAAGCAGTTCTCGCGCTCCCAGGGCCACGGGTTCATCACCCCTGAGAACGGCACAGAGGACATTTTCGTCCACGTGTCTGAGTAAGTCTGGGGGGGGGTCACGCGGCGCTGGGGCGCCCTGGGGGAGCCACGCCGTCAGCACGGGGCTGGAGACCCATGGGCCGGGGTGGGGGATGTCTCCGTGGGGTGGGGATGGGGCTCTGCCTCTCCTCTACCCGCCCCGCTGCCGGTGGGTTTTCTTTCCCAAGGCGCAGCTGGTGGGTCTGGTACCTTCCTTGGTGCTGGGTGGTCTGGGGTGGGGGTCCAGCTCTTGGCCCTAGCCCCACCACCTCTCCTCTCCTCTCCCACAGCATCGAGGGGGAATACGTCCCAGTGGAGGGGGACGAGGTGACGTACAAGGTCTGCCCCATCCCCCCCAAGAACCAGAAGTTCCAGGCGGTGGAGGTGGTCCTCACCAACCTGGCACCCCACACGAAGCACGAGACGTGGTCTGGCCAGATCATTGGCTCTTAGGCGCCCAGGGGGGGCCGCCAGCCGCTCGGCCCCACGGAGCAAGCCTGCCCGGCCGCTTGCGGGGGGCGCGGGGGGAGCCGAGGCGGCAGTGGGGCCGGGGCTGCCCCCAAACACGCAGGCGTTTGCGTTCGGTGTCTTTTATAAGGTTACGGTTTCCTTTCTCTGTGTGTGTTTGTAAGTGTCTGTTGAGGGGGATGGGGGAAGCAGAGCCCTCCCCTGCCGCCCCCCAGCTCCGGGGGCAGCGCCGAGCCCCGTGTCCCCTTCCTTGCCCCCACGGCCATGGGGAGCAGGGGAACCAGTCCTACCCCCCAGCCCCTTGGTTGCCCCAGGCTGAAGCAGGTGCTGAGAGCAGGAGGTGGCTGGGAGGGTGCTGGGGGGGCTTGTCTTGTCCTCCTGAACCTCACTCCAGCAAGATGGGCACCCCGCTTGGTCCCACTGCCCACAGCAGGGCATGCCGTGGGGCTGGGGGGAAGTGGGGCGGTGTGGGGCGGCGTATCACTGTGCGGGGACTGGGTGGCTGAGACCCATCCCCATCGCTGGCAGCTCACGGCACCCGCCTGAGCCATGTCCCTCCATCAAAAAATCTCTCAGGTCAGCAGTGCCACGGGGAGGTGAGTGGCTTACAGAAAGAAAAAAAAATTAGTTTTAAGGGGCAAACGGCTGCTGGCAGGGTGTTGGGGGGCTGCACCTGGGCGTGGGGCGGGGGTGCACTTGGCACTTCTGTGCTCCCTGCCACCGCTGGCTCGGTGCTGACATGGTTTTGGGGAGATGGCCACCTCCTCCTCCTCCTCCCCTTGTTCCCTCAGCCCCCTGGGACCCCCCCCTTCCCCTGTGCGCACGTGTGTGTGTGTGTGTGTGTGTGTGTGTGTGTGTGTGTGTGTGTGTGCATGTCCATAGCTTGCTGGGGGGGGGGGGGGGGGCGGGGGAGCAAGGGGCTGAGGGGTTTGAGTAGCCTCAGCCATGGGACGAGTGCAGCCACCTCCTCCCCAGCCCCTCGGTGTAGGCAGGGTCTCGTATACAAAGCACAAACTCTGTTTTTGGTCTTCTCTGCCATACCCTGGCCAGGCGGGCTCCCACGGCCCTGGGGAAGGGACAGGGCAGGGGGCGGCGGGACAGGGGAGGCATGTACCCCGCTGGGCCTGAACAGACCCCAGGGAAACGGTGCCTGCACAGACACGCCAGGGATTATCAGCATCTTAAGGGGTTTATTTCAAATCAGGGCGAGCAGCCCCCCCCCGAGCAGGGTGGGTGATGACAGCCGGCTCCCCAGGCACCCACTCAGCAGGAGCCGCCGGTGCCGCCAGTCCTCCGCACTGATGGAGAGGGGCATTTTCCACCTTTCTCGCCACCACTGTTGCGGTGGGGACAGGTCTGCCATAAGCAGGGAGAGGAGGGGGGCAAGGCTGGTGCCACGCGGGACAGCTGGGGCCCTGTGGATTTGGGAGGAACACTGCCCGCTGCCCCAGCCCAGGCTGGCGGGGGGACTGCCCCGGGACCCCGCAGCCAATCTCACTGCCAACCCGAAGCCCGTCTCACCCAGGGGCTACACGACGCTGGCTCAGGCCCCAGCCATCCCTGAGACATGCAGTCAGCTTGGCCAAGGCAAACTTTGTTCGAATTTTTTTTTTTTTTTTTTTTTTTTTTTCTCTCTCTTTTCTTTTGGAAATAAACTAAAACCCTAGACTTGTCGGTGTTTTTACATCTCCAGTGTGGTTCCCGCCTGTCTGACTGTGCGTCGACCTCTGTAACATTGGCAATAAACCATTAAAAGTGACTTTCCCATGAGCCCTGCCCGTCCCAGCTCTTTGTCTTTTGTGCGTGTGTCGCAGTGGGGATGCTGGTGACTCGCCCAGGTGAAGGACCTGGAGCGCCCAGGAGAGTTATCCAGATGCCAGGAGGGACTCACCCACAGCCACGCAGCGTGTCCTGGGGTGCTCCAGCCCCAGGGCACCCCGAGCCTGGGACAGGAGGGGTGACCAGCACCGGGGCTGGTCCCTCGCTGCCTCTGGGATTTCAAAGTGTGGCTGCCTGCCGTCTGGCTGCGTTTCACCCCAGCAGAGCCCGGCACAAAGCGCATGCTGCCTCCAACCACTGCGTGTTTTAGCTTTAATATGATTTTATTTTTTTCTTTTTTTTTTTTTTTTTAAATATACATATATATGTATTTAAATATATTTCTTATTTAACAGTTAGTATCAGCCAGACAGGAGCCGCCCGTCTCGCACAGATACGGAGCCGTATGGCAGGATGGTCCCCGGCGCAGGGCCCGCCACATCTGCTCGCTCACGCGTACATGGGGAAACCCCCCCCTCACACCGTGGGCACCCACTGGGAGAGGAGTGTCACGGCAAAGGGGCCTCAGGGACACGCGTGCGCTGTCCCCTTGGTGCAGGCCTCCCACCCCCGGCGCCCTGCCTCATCCCTGCCTGCGAAAACACAGCGCAGGCAGCCAGGGCTTTCGGTGACCCTGCTGGAGCAGGGAGGTGGGACCTGATGACCTCCAAAGGTCCCCTCCACCCCCAACCATTCTGCCACACTGAGACCCTGGGGCTGCCCCAGCTACTTCTGATGCCACCCTCCTCCTCATCCCTCTGGCAGGGTAGGGTCTCCTGGTGGGAGGTGCCCTCAGCTAGCCCAAGCTTGGCATAAGACAGAGACAAAACCAGGGAAGGTTCCTGAACTTGATCCCACTCGTGCACACGTGAGCTCCCGAGCAGAGAAAGCGACGGCTGGTGCCTCGAAGGTCATCCCTGCCTCTGCTCTGCTTGCCCTGCAACTCCCCCCGCCCTGAGCAAGGGACGTGCTGCCACCAGGAGCAGCCTTGGACAGAGCCTGCCCTGCCCTTCAAATACGAAAAAGTCATCTCAACCCCCAAGGCCACCACCCGTGCCTCGTGCCTTCAGGGCCAGGCCCTGCTCTTCTCTCGCCACTAAGCTTGCTAACGACCCTGCTGACTCTGAATAGACTTACAGGAAAAATACCACCCCCCACCCCCCCCCCAACCCCACACATAACCCGACCCACAGTGAAACAGAGAAGAAGGAACCACAAAACACGCGATTCCTCCATGACGGTTGCAGTGGAGGGTCAAAACCAAAGGGTACCCTGCATCCAGGCTTCCCCAACGGGTCCTCTTCTTCCACGCAGAAACCTTCACTGGGTAGAAAGAGGAATTTGTGCATTTGTTGGGGATTTCCAGATGCTGGGCAGACCGCCACGCTCGTGCAAATGTGATGCATTACAGACCTGATGTGTTGTAGAGTTAAGAGGTGTAGTCAGGTGGAGGAGATGGCACCCCTGGCACCAGGACCAGGGTCCACTCAGGACTCTGCCCGTGGCAACGTGGGAGCCCTGTCCTGGGTCTAAAAGCACCAACATATCTCGCCTGAGGAACTCAGCCCCTGGGTTAAGTGGCAGTAACCAGCTGAGAAACTTCTCTCTGCCGTCCAGCTGATAGGTGGGAGGTGAAGAACAATGGCAAGGAAAGCAGGAACAGTGAGAAAAAGAGAGAAAAGAAGACCAAGGGATGGAGCAGTGCCATCCCAGCGGGGATGCACTGAGAAAGGCTCCCAGGGAGCAACGAGGAGAGCTTTTGCAGGATCCTCCGGCACCCTCCAGGTTCACAAACCCCAAACACGTGTGCCCTGGGGAGCTGTAAGCAGGACCTCTCCCTGGAGGGGATCCCTGAGCTCCTCTTAAGCGCCGAGCTGGGACTAGCATGGCTAGTGTGGTCACACACCCCAGCGCAACATCCAGGAATAAAGGGGGAATGTGAGGGAGGAGGTCAAGGGCCAAAGGAGAGCTGATGTGGTTTTGCAACCCATGAAGACCCAGGAGAAGAGAGGAGCAGAAGGACACACGACAGCTGCACTGGAGAACTTGAGTCCCTAAAGGTGACCGTGTAAAGCAAGCGTGTGGAACGAGATGGGGTGGAAAAGCAAGTGCACTGTTGAGCACACACCTCCACTGACACTGGAAACAAGGTCTGGCCTGTGTTGGCTCTCCCTAAAAATGTCTCTGGCAGCACGATGGGAAGCTGAGCCCAGGGAAGGAAGGGGACTCGGTCTGTTATGAATGCCCTGGGTAAGGTTTTACACTGACACATCTGTGATGCCTAATGGACACACGGGTGGGAAGCCTGCTGGGAAGCCGCCTGCCCCCAAGGGCTCCCCAGGGTGCTCTGCACATGCCAGGCACCCGGGGTCCTCCAGCCAGGCCAGGCAAGGTCTGACTTGACAACTTCTGCACAACATGGAAAATAAACCCTAGGCAGAACTTTTTTTTTTTTTCTTTTTTTTTTTTTTTTTTTTTTTTGTAGCCTAAAGAGAGAATCAGTTTCTTCACGCACCTGAGCAAAGCTCAGGGTAGAAGCAGAGTAATTTTAACACTGTCACTCCCAGGTCACCTGCAGGGACTGGCATGGTATGGCACCGAGGTGAAGGACATGGTGATCCTCTCTGTTATGATGCACAATGTTGCAACAAGCTGGGGTCACTGCTACCCCTTCCTGCCACGGGCTAGGAGCAAACAGCTTTCCTGGCCTCTTGCTTCAGCAGCGGGCAGCTCTGGTGAGAGTGCCTGGGGCCTCAGCAGCCTCATCCTCCCCAGCCAAGGTGCAAGGGGGAGAGAAAGGTGAGTTGCATGTTCCCTGATGCAGAAGTGTTAAGAGAAACAGAGCGAAAAAGAGGGAAGGGAGCACAGCAGGGACACACGCATGCTCTTCTGACTGGCCCTTTCAAATGCCTTCCAACCAAGAAAGCATCTGCATTGCCACCCATTACAGCCTGAACTGTCAAGAGAGAAGTTTTTCTGAAGGTGAGGAGGGTCTGGTCCCACAAGCTCCAGCCGTAGATGGGGAGTGCCGAGGGGCCGCTCAGCAAAGACCCCTTCCTGCACACCCACCCGCACACACACACGTGTTACATCCCAACCAGCTCTGGAAAGTGGTTTGGTTTTTTTTTTTTTTTTTTTTTTTTTTTTCAGTCTACCCTGAGCAGATTCCTCAAATGAAGGTGCTTTTCCTGGCAGGGGGAGAGGGTGGGGACGGGCTGTGGGGACCTGGCAGTCAGCACTCGTTTGCTCTCTCTGGAAAGAAGATTTCACGGCATCGCTGGACCGTGTCCTGGGGGGACAGGACACTGTGTCCCACTGTGCGGGGATCATCATAGATTTCATAATCGTTCCCTCCCTGCAGGGGAATAGCAAATAAGGAAAGCATTAGCAGGGCCTCGCCGGAGCATCTTCATCTGTGCATCTGCATCTTCCTCCATCCTGTGAGCAGCTGGGGTGGGAGCCAGTGGCTGGGCGGGCAGGGACCTGCTGGGAGGGGGCTGTCAGGGCTCTGCTGGCCCAGGGAGGCAGGAGAGGCTGAGCTGGGAGCCCCGCTCCCTCCCTCATGCCTCCCCTCTTCTGAGTCAGGGAAGGAAGGTCCCAGACCAGCCAAACTTTTTCCAGGAGACCAGGGTTAACCCCTGCCCTGCCTGCGGAGGGGCTAGCAGAAGGTGGGGTGGGCACATTTGGGGAGCAGAGGTTGCCATCATCTGGAAAGCGCCGAGTGGATGGCCGAGCTGGTCTACAGCAGCAAGGAAGCACCATCCTTCACCATCCTTTTCTAAAGAGAAGGTGAAGCTGCTCCTGCTGTTGAAAAGCCCTCTGCTAAGTGCTGGGAGCTTGCGTTTCGGGTCCTGCAGGCCACAGGAGTGGCTGCCCCTCTCCCGAGGGTGCCAAGAGGAGGAAAGCGATGCTGAGGTGGACCTGTTCCCCGGCACAGTGAATCCAAGGTGATTTCCCCGTGACCCAGCGGGCCCGCGGCCATCACGAGCCTGCCGCAAACCTGCGCCACGTGCGAGCACCTCTCCCCCTCGCGCTGCCACGAGGTCTGTGCCAGCCGCAGGCCGGACCCAGGTCGTGGGGACTCATGACGGAGCAAGCCCCACGCGGGAGAGAACGTGGCCGCGTGTGGGGCGAGCGAGGCATACTCACAGGGGTCGTCTCGTTCCCAAAGAAGTGGATGGTGTCAAATCTCTCGTCGTCGAGCACGTTGAGGCAGTAGCGCTTGTCCCAGCCCTCCGGGAAGACGTCAAAGCTGATCATGCCACCTGCCAGCAAAAGGGAGGGCATCGCGCAACGCTGGTGGGAACCGGCACGGTGTCCCGTCCCCCCCGGGACAGGCAGGAGGAGGGGAGAGGGCTGGATGTCTGGGGGGGGAGCCCCCACCCCAAACAGCAGCCAGGCACCAGCTCTGCCTTGGTGTGTCTCTCTGGCACGTGGATAGGAGAGTGGCAGATGCTGTTCCTATGACAACAGACTGGCGTGACCCCGGCACGGCTGGGGTGACCTCGGCACAGCTGGGGTGACATTGGCACGGCTGGGGTGACCTCGGTACGGCTGGGGGGACATTGGCACAGCTGGGGGGACCTCGGCACGGCTGGGGGGACCTCGGCACAGCTGGGGTGACATTGGCATGGCTGGGGTGACCCCGGCATGGCTGGGGTGACCTCGGCACGGCTGGGGTGACATTGGCACGGCTGGGGTGACATTGGCATGGCTGGGGTGACCTCGGCACAGCTGGGGTGACCTCGGCACAGCTGGGGTGACCTTGGCACGGCTGGGGTGACCTCGGCACAGCTGGGGTGACATTGGCATGGCTGGGGTGACCCCGGCACGGCTCCCCTGACTGCAGGCAGGCCGGCAAGCAGCAGCCAGCGCGTTGCAGGGAGGGGTGCTGGGGTGGGAGGTCCCAAGAGATGCAACTGCTAGGGGAGATTTGGGGGTCACACCTTGCGGGTGGCATCCAGCGTGTTCTGCGTCCCAATGGGGGACAATGCCCTCAGAGACCGGCACCACTCTTTCTCCTTAGGCTCCTGTGTGGACATCCCTGGTCCCTCTAAAAACCGCTGCTCCTGAACCCTGCAGACACCGGGGGCTCCCAGCACCCCGCGCCCACAACGCGAACCCCCAGGCACTGCACAGCTCAGGGGGGGTCCCAGCCGGCCCCAAGCAGGCTCTGCACGCTGATCAGAGACCAAGGACCTTGTCACGGAGGTACCACAAGCCCAACGACATCATCAGGGCATGACCCTGGCCTGTCACCTCCCTCCACAAGAGGCAAGTGCGGGTTGCCAAAATCTGAAGTAGCACCAAGACAGACGGGGCACACGTATAGAGGTAAGGGAGTTTTCCCACAGAGCATGCATACATGTGCACATGGACACCCAGAGCCACCAAGGTTTTACTGAACTTCCTAGCCCTTGCTCTTAGACCAGGCAGAGTTTACCTCAGAACTATGCTGCCTTTTGGGGGTGCGTGGAGGCAGGCTGCCCCGCCGTGTGCACTGGCTGCAGAGGCAGACTCTTGTCCCAGCACCAACACAGGTGACAGGTTCCTCCTAAAGCAAAGCCCATGACTTAGGGCACACGTACGTTTGTGTCGCTCAGAGCTGGGAGGAACGGGGATTTTTGCTGGGATGTGCATCCTCCTGCCAGTTCAGATCTCTGCTCCTCTTGGTTTCAAGGGGACCCCCCACTTCCTCAGACAATCTACTGGGCCACCAGCAACCCTGGAGCTTCACGCTCTCCTTCACAAATCATAACCCTGCCTCTCCTAGGAAGGGGGTGAGTAGACAAGTACCCACAGGGATGATCCCTGATGGAGGAGAGGCACTGATCCCCTGGGCTGTTCAAACATGCACGTCCTGATGTTCCTCCCTGGCTGGTTGAGGTGTCCCTGTTGGTTTGGGGATCCCAAATCACCTCTCCTTGAAGCCTGAGGAGCTGGGGATGGAGCATGTGGGTCCAGCTCGGGGCAGAGGATTCACTACCAGACAGGATGCCCCAGGCAGGGCACTGTGGCATGCACGGGAGCAAGTGCCCTATGAGCTCAGGGATGGGGATGCCCCCAGGCTCGCAGAAGGAGCCAGCATCAGAGCAGGAGCTAAACTTGGCTGACCTCATTAAAATCCTTTCTGGTTTTGTATCCAAAACCATTTACCTGTGAAAAACGGTGCATTTCATTGTGTTCTGGCCTTTTAAACAGAGATGGGCAGCAAGAAGGGGCTCCCGATGCCAGCTGGAGAGGGTAGGAAATCAAAGGGAGAAGAGGTGGTGTGGAGGACAGCCAGCACTGTCCCTTGCCTAGGCAGAGCACGAGTCTGAGGGATTGCAGGGAGATCTCTCACCACCTCGGGGGCTTGCATCCTCCACAGCCTGGGACAAGGCACATGGATCCAGTTTGGCAGAAGAGCCCCATTTTCACGTGTCCCTGGTTTTGGATGCATGACCTGAGACACCCCGCGTATTCTTTGTGGAGGAGCGGGGGGCCCACAGCCCCCCTTGTCTTCATGCTTTTACACAACAGGGCTGGGCTCCTCATGGTGGCTTCCCAAAGTCAGAGGAGAAAAGCCCCATTGCTCTGCTCTCGTCCCCCCTGCCTGCGGGGACACGGTGGCGGGGACCTTGTCTTTCTCTGCTGTGACAAACGGTGTGTGTCAGTGCTGTGGGCAGTGCAGGATGCCCCTGGCAGGATGCTGAAGGCAAGGGGAGGCTCTCAGGAGGAAAGCTCTCGGAGGACCCAATCCTTGGTACTGGCCCACACTGGGTGCAAGAGCGGGGTGTCACCTGCCACCTCCCAGCCTCGTCACCCCCTTGCCCTTTGGTTAGGCTGCCACACAGCACCTTCTGACCTCACACATACCCATCACTCTGCTTCAGTCCCACCACTTACACACCCTCATTTTCCTCCCTGTCCCAGGCAGACCTGCAGGATTGCTCAAGCCTCTCCTTCAGTTCCTCCCCTTTGGTACGCTGGCTGTAGGAGCGTACCTCCACCCCAAGAAGTGACCCTGCAGAAGGCCATGGCACGGAGCTGCAAACTCCCTGCCTCTCAGTAGCTCTTCCTCCAGGAAGAAAGATGTTCCCCTCACAGCCAACCCTCCCAACAAAACCCGAGCCGAGACATGCATGAGGCTCCTGTCTCCCTTACACCATGGCATTCCCAGAGAGGACTACCTTGCTGCTGACGCCTGAGTCAGGACAGATCTCCTGGGCAGGGGTGGGCTCTGCAGAGCTAACTGGAATTAAGACAGGGAGAATGTCGTGGGCCAGAAACCTGTCTGGCTGCCTGATTCGCAGGGAGGCAAATCTGCAGCACGCTTTATTCTCTGCTGTCACCCCGCTGTGAATGCCAACGTGACAGCCCCGTGATGGCTCTCCAGGAATAGAAACTCCTTGTGCCCTTACTGGGGTCTCTAGGCCCCCGGAGGGAAGAGCTAGGATTCCCACTCCCTTTCCCAGCATTTGATGGGAAACACAATAAAGAGGCCAAGGCAAAGCCAGGGAAGCCCCCTCTGCTCACCTCGAGAGAAACGCAGGCCTTTGCCAGCAAACTCCCTCTGCAAGGCTGCCACAAACTTCTCCCGGATTCGCTCTTTCTGTGGAGAAGGAGGAAAGGGAAGGAAGGAGGGTTTGAATAATTAGGTGTTGACAGTCTACCAAAAGCTACCATACAGCTGTCTGCTGGGCAGCTCTGGCTTATTGCATTCCTCCCTTCCCACCTGCCCCCAGTGTAACACCATTTAGCCAGCTGTCACCAGTCCTGCCCAGTCTGCTGAAAAAGCCACCAGATCAGGGCAGCTCCAGGAGGCTCCTGGGAAGAGCAGATCCCAGCCCTTCCTTGAATGAAATGCAATTGCTTCTATTTCCCAGAAGCCCAGTTCACAACCCAAAGTCTCCAGCTTTGCTTGCAAAGCCTTGATAAGTCTCTCCATCCCAGGACTCGCTGCCCCCCCCCCGCCTGGGGCGTGGGCCAAGTGCTCCAGAAATCTGCCCAGCAGACCTGCTGTGGCCCACCCAGTCTGGAAGACCCATTAGTTCCAGCTCTGTTGGGGCTGGGGGAGTGGGAGAGAGAAGACAGCTGCTGGGCCAGCCTGGAGGGGTGGTGCAACCTGGGAAGTTTAGGTCTCTCAGGTTTTCAGTACAATTCTCTCTTTGGTTACTGTAAACGAGGAGACACCCTGCTAAATAAGTGTCTTATTCCCTGGGGCTCTCCCACAAGAAATCCTGATGGCCACCCCATTGCATCAGTGGTCCCTAATGAAGTCAAATTCTGCCTTTCATCTGTGTCTCTCACTGGGTTTTCTGACCCGGAGACCAGTCTCCACCTTGCTGCATGTGTTGGGCCGGTGCACAGCTTGGAGCTGGCCTCCCTTCTTCTTGAGAAGGGGGGAAGCAGGTAAGACCCCAGATCTGTGGTGGTGCAAAACCAGCGAGGGGGAGGGTGAGCCCGAGTCCGGCCTGTGTACCTTGTCCAGCTCAGAGAACTCGATTCGCTCCTCTGGAGTGCAGCTCCGTCCGATGGGGGAGATGTTCAGCATCCCGTTGCGAAACTCAATGAAGGTTCCTCTGTGGGTGGGCAAGGGCAAAAGGTTACTGGGACAGGGAGAGAAAAACAGACCTTTCCAGGGGAATGGCTGCTCGGCGAGGCATGGAGTCCCTGCAGAGACATGCAGGAGGGGAGAAGTCATGCCCACTCATGGGTGCTTCACGCCAGGCAGAGACCAGGCATCGACAACTCCGCTTAAGGTCCTCAAGAGTCCCATACTTTTATAAAAGGAGAATGTCAGGGAAGCAGATTAAACAGTTCCTGTGTGCCCTGGGGACAGGCTGGAAGCAAGGAGCTTAGGTGAGATGACAGGAAACATTTTTTAATGATGTAATAACTGCAAGGACAGCTATCGCCTGGACTGGTCCAGCTGCCTGATGAGACTGTGGCGTCTCCACCCCTGGAAGCTTTTAAGAAAAGTTGGGTGGGCTGGGTGAAGCTGGCAGTACCTTGGGACAGTGGGATGGAACGGGTCAGTGTAACTCGCTGCTGCTGTCTGGCAGCAGGCTGATGAACAATTGGGACCTTCTCGTGGGACACAAATCAGGTCGGACTTCCAAGGCCTTTGTATCTCCCCCTTGCCCCCTGCACCTTTGCAACTCTTTTCTAAGCTTGCACAGACAGGACCCAGTTCCTGCTTGCCACTCTAACCTTGCACTGGGATCACTACTCTGCCGCTTCCTCAGTGGGCTGGTTCAAAGTGCTAAGCTGGCAGAAAAGTGCTCCCTTCTTTTCTCTTTGCTACAAAGGCAGCCAGTTCTGCTTGCTTATCACCTTGGAATAGCTCACCAAGGGGTCAGACAGGTACCAGCACTGGTGAGGCAGAAACAACAGGGGATGGCAGCACTGCCAGTCTGAAAATAGATTGAAAGTCTTGTGGAAACCTCGCTGGAGCAGGGAGATCCCTTTCCCTGTCCAGCTGAGGAGCCCTGAGCTCATTAACCCTCTGATGTCCCTCCCAGCCCTGCCCGCTGTTTCTCTGTGATAAACTGGTTACCACTCTGAGTCTGGGGGAAAAAACTGCCTACCTCCTGTCTCGTAACAGTGAAGAACACCACGGGGAACAGACACACGGGCACGCACGCCTGCAGTCTGGGAGCAGCATCTCTGCAGCACCAAGGGTTTGGTGGCTCACGCCGCCGGCCAAGGCTCGGGAGATGTGGGTTAAAGTCCTTGCGCTGCTAGAAATCCCATAAGCCTAAATCCACAGAGGCACTTGGGAGCTGCAACTTCACCAGGCTGTTGGGCAACCAGACAGCAATGAGGCAACCAAAGAGCCTCGAGGGTCCTGGGTCCCAGCCCACGCTTTTGGGGGCACGTTCAGCCGCAAGGAGCCACCCTGGCCTCTCTCACCGGCCCTTGTATTGCCACGTGGTGACTCACATCAGGCAACTAATCTGGACCACAGATTATTAACTTTTACCAGCTTAGCTTCAGCCAGAGAGCTCGCCTGCTCGGGCTCACTGTACAAACACAAGGGGAGAGCAGGAACAAACCAGCCAGGGCGAGGGGAGGGCCGAGCTGCTGCTTTCAACAGCACTGCTGGCTCACGCTGGCTTCAAGCATTTGTGAAACTGTGGTCTGAGGGGCGGTTTGACACTGCACCCAGGCTGGGTTAACTGCAGGCTGCCTCTGGAAAAGGTCCTCCTGCTCGCCCCCTTCCACCTTCATGCCATCTGTTCCCTCTTTCTCTTTCCTGTGGTAACAGAGGGAGCTGATCCAGTGAAAAACTACCCTTTTCTTTCCTGGCAGTGGCCTAGTCTTCCATCAGAGGAGGTGTACCAACCCAACTCACCCTGTGGCTGCTGGATCTCATGGGGGGGAAGCAGGCAGGAACACATGGTTGGGGGCAGAGCAGGCACAGGCCTATTACCAGTGCCACCGAGCAACACTGGGTTAGAAACAGTGTGAAACTCTGTGCTCAGTCGCTGGATCTCCCATCTTAAGAGCCATTGTTCGTCTGTTTGGAAACTCACACAACCAATGATGTCTGATGCTCTGACCAGTAACAAGCTGGTACCGTTGTCCGGAATGAGATGCACACAGTGACTGCACCCTGCTTCCCCAGGAAGAAAATCCGAGGGGCAAAAGAGCAGGCGTTATGCTAAAAAATAGTGCAGACTCTTCAGAACAAAGACCCTCCTCCATTATTTGCACACAGTGCCCAGCTCATTGGGACAGTGATCATACACAGAGCCTCTAAATCCTAAGACAACCTGGAGCGAGACAAGCTCAGTAGCTCAGCGGTTCTTAGGAGAGCTCTGGAGCCCAGAGCTCCCTTAGAAATCAGTGATACGACTGCCATTTGCACAGACCAGGGCTCTTACCGTTTCTTGGGCAGCTTCAGCAGCGCCATGTAGTTGAGGCAGAAGTTGATCAGCTCCTGCAGCAGCTCTTCCCCCAAGTGGTCCTGAATGGCCTGCGTGAGGAGAAGGGGCAGCGAGGAAGAAGCTAGACCTCCTGTGAAGCCCAATCGAGAACACGACTGGGAGGAGTAGAACATTCAGATCTGGCATTTGGGGAGATGAGAAGAGGCTGCTCATCTGCCCGGGGCCAGGCACTGCTCCCCCCAGCACAGGGGCTGCCCGGGGATGGGGAAGGAGAGCCGTGGCTGCAAGGGGAGCTGGACCTACCTGCTTGGAGACCAGCTGCCCATTCTTGTATTGCACCGTGCCGTTCTCTGCGAAAACGTAGTCAAACTTATTGATGACTGAAGGGAGAGGAAACAAAAGAGCAAACATCAGCACTGCCTGGGAAAAGGAGCCAAAAGGACTGGGCTCAGGACTGAGTCAGCCATCCTCGCGGGCCCTTAGTGCCGCGCTTTCCACATCTCCCGTGCTTCGCAAAGGGCCACCGACCCTCCTCACTCTCTGCAAAGTGGGCAAGAAGATTATCTTCTGCTCACAGGTGGGGGAGCTGACGCACACAGGGGGGGAAATGACCTGCCCGAGGTCACAGGCTGAATCAGTGGCAGGCCAAAGATAAGGGCTCCAAAATGTCAGGCTTTCAACCACGTGCTCGTTATTCTGATGTCTTCCCCTCCCCACTGCCAGGGTGCTGGGGCGATGTGCAGTTACTGGTTATCTAACTCCAGCCCCTCCTGCGACCCCGACACACAGCACCGCCGACTCAGCAATCGGCCTCAGCAGGGAATTTCTCAGCCTCCCTCCTCTAAGGAGGCAGGAGGCTGAGCTCGGAGCCCGGCCGTGCTTGGCATCCCTGCCAGAGAAGGAAAACAAGGTGGAGGGCGCAGGGGCTGCCCCCTTGCCCTCCCACTCCCTCCTCTGCCCCGTGTCCCTGTCTGAATACTATGAAGAACCGCCCCCCCCCCCCCCCCCCCCCCCAGGAGACCCCACCATGGAGCAGCAGGGAGGCTGAATTTGCAAGGGCCTCCTGCCCGCTCTGTGTGTCTGTGTGTGTGTGTCCGTGTGTCTGTCCGAGCCCGGATGAAGCTCGTACAAACCCGACGCCGGAGCCGCCGGCGTGGGTTGGAGCATCCCTGCCGGCTCCTCCGCAGAGGGAGAAGGAGCCGAGCGGCGGGTCCCGCCCGGGCGCCCCAAGGGCGGGATTGGGGTCGGTTTTAAGCCCCAGGGCGACGTCGGGGAGACCTCACCGGCCGCGCCTCACCTTCGTCCCCGTCCCCCAGCTGCTCGGCTATCTTGGCATAGTCGGAGCCTCCCACCACGCCGATGTGCACCCTCTCCCGCAGCTCCCGCAGGAACGCGTCCACCTCCGGCTCGATTTTCTGGCGGGGAAGCAGCGGGTGAGGCCGGAGCCGGCGGGACGAGCCCCGCCACGCTCGGACCTCAGCCCGCCGCCAAAACCCACCCCCACCCCACCCCACCCCACCCCTTCCACGGGCCTTGGCTACCTGCCGAGCCGGCGTCAGGGTCCCGTCCACGTCGAAGAGGCACAGCACCCGGCCCCTCGCCGCCGCCGCCATCCCGGCCTCTGCGAGCGGGAGGCGGGACCGCGCCGGGGAGGCGATGGCGGCCGCGCCGCCCTCCCCGGGCAGCCGCCGCACCGGCCTCACGGACCACCCCCCTACACACACACACACCCACACACACACACACCCACCCACCCACCCACACACACACACACACACTCACCCCCCTCCCTACACACACACACACACACACACACACACACACACACACAGGACCACCCCCCTACACACACACACCCCCCTACACACACACACACACACACAGGACCACCCCCCCTACACACACACCCCCACACACCCCTACACACACACACACACACACAGGACCACCCCCCCTACACACACACACACACACACCCCCACACACCCCTACACACACACACACACACAGGACCACCCCCCCTACACACACCCACACACACACACACACACCCCCACACACCCCTACACACACACACACACACACAGGACCACCCCCCCTACACACACACCCACCCACACACACACACCCACACACACACACACACCCACCCCCCTCCCTACACACACACACACACACACACACACAGGACCACCCCCCCTACACACACACACACACACAGGACCACCCCCCCTACACACACACCCCCACACACCCCTACACACACACACACACACAGGACCACCCCCCCTACACACACACCCCCACACACCCCTACACACACACACACAGGACCACCCCCCCTACACACACACACACACACACACAGGACCACCCCCCCTACACACACACACACCCACCCACACACACCCACACACCCCTACACACACACACACACACAGGACCACCCCCCCTACACACACCCCCACACACCCCCACACCCCCACACACCCCTACACACACACACACACACAGGACCACCCCCCCTACACACACACACACACACAGGACCACCCCCCCTACACACACCCACACACACACACACACCCACACACCCCTACACACACCCACACACAGGACCACCCCCCCTACACACACACACACACACACACACAAACACACACCCGTCACCCCTACACCCCCATCCCCCCCCCCCCCCCCCCCGTGCCTCCGAAGTCCCCTCCGATGTCGCCGCAACCTGCGGGGCTGGAACGGCTTCCCCCGCTTCAGCAATTTTCGTCAAATCGTTTGCTTTAGTGCCCTAACGAAGGGCCTGGGAGTTTAGTGGGGGTGTGTGTGTGTGGGGGTGTGTGTGTGGAGGGGGATGTGTCTTCACATTCGCTGTCGTTACCGCAGTGCCCCCCCCGCCTTTAGGGGCTGGGTAAGCTCAGCTCCTCTGGGAGTTTCTGTGCCCTCAGGAAGGGGGCAGGGGCAGCGCGCACCCACCCCGCCAGTCCCGCTGCCTCACCTGGCATTTCTAACAGGATGCTGTTAACAGCTGATATTTCCACTGGAGAAGTGCAGGTTTCAGCCCCCACTCCTCTGCACTAAGCCAAATCTATTTCTTGCAGCCACTTTTACCTTGAGCCGCTTAGCAGCCATTTAGGGTTTAATCGGACCGTCTGGTCAGATCATACTCACATGGCTCCGCGTTATGCTGGCCTGATACGTAACAGTGGACAGCCTGCCGGGCTGCTGTCTCCTACAATAATTCCTGACTTATTTTCTGACATCAAAACCAACCTGCGTGGAACATTCAATGCATTTTGCTCAGCAGTTGGCTTGCCTTCTCTCCCCAGACGGTGCTCAGAGTGCTGAGCTAGGTTGGAACTGGGGGGAGGTATTTTTTATGGTCTGATTGTTTTTTTCTTGGTATTATTTGCTTCCAGGACATCGCGCAACCCCTTTTCTTAGTTCTCCACCAGATTCCTCTCAAAGTGAAGCATTCGGGTGGCTTCACAGCTTCTGGTTTTTGCTCATGGTTTTTATTTTCCTTCTTCTACTTAATGAAAGAGGGATGTACAGAAACAACGTTAATGATTTACCTCTGTGCCATTGCCTTGGACAAGGTTTACCAAAACATCCTCAGCTACTTGCTGGGAGAGGCATTCATTGTGTCCACCAGTTAATGTCACCAGGATAGCTATTTCCTCGTTGTTTCTCAGCTGCCTCCATAACACAGTGAGTCAGGCAGTCTTCGATGGGTATTACTAGTGGTATTTTCCCTGACATTAATATTCTTGCAAAATCACGGCCTCTAGGGCCTTCTGGATCAGACCCTGATTATGAGCTCCCACCTCTGGAAAGCTGAACTCTTCTCTCAGATGCATTGAAGCTCCCAGAATGGTTTTTCAGCACCCAACTGCTTAGTATGCTGTTGGGTGCTGAATTTTTAGTTCAGTTTAGGGTTAGGCTCATTTATAGGGCTTGTCTAGGTGTGATTACATAGGTCCCTCATCAGTTAATGTGTGGACACTTACTCTAGAATATGAGTAATTCAAAGTGTGTCTGCCATGGCATGCTGAAGAGTGAGTAGAGACACCTTCATGGATTTAGGTTGCTTGATTACCAGAAGTCAAAGAGCTGCTTTCCCGTGCAGCAGAGCTGGAGCGAATGCCCAGGACTCTCAAAAGACTGCCCATGGGGTCAGATACATGGTGAACTCCCGGGGGGTTCAGGAACGCAAGCCTTTATTTTTCATAAACCACAACATGATACGAGGATGAGACTTCCCACGTCCGGGTGGAAGAGGCGTGGTGTTAGGAAAACCTGCCAACTCACTCCTGTTACAGCCCGGGCTTTGTAGCAGCACTGGGTTCTTGGCGTAGCCCCGGCTGCTCCTACCCGCAGCCGCCTCGTCTGGGTGAGACATTCCTCCTCGCCCGTTGCATTATTACTCTTGGACATCCCAAAAGCAGGAGCCGCTCTCCCTGGGCTCAGGTGCATCCCTGCGTGGCAAGGCAGCAGTGCCACCTCGGGGCACTTCCCAGAACTGGGAAGTCTGCTAAAACACAGGTCAGCGTTCACGTTTCCGCGCTCCTACAGTGCCATCGAGTTTATGCGACCAGGAAAGCTCTCCAAAACTTGAACTACTGCTGTGTTTTCTCCAGCTTATTTGTCATGCTGCTTCAGAAACTCTATTCAAGTTAAAATACCTCTCCCAGCACCTTGATTGCCCTTTGGTATCAGCCAGTGAGGACCTGTGGCATCTTGGTTCCCCAAGAGTATGAGCCTGACTTTTGGTGAAGCGTGCAGCTGTGCTTGTTCCTTCATCTGGGTTAGCTCTGAGAACAAGGCTGCTGCAGCTGTTTCTGTTATTTAATAGTTTGCACTTAAACCACTCTTGATACATTCCCTTGATTGCTGCTTGGATAGGCAGCAGCTGTCCTCATGAATAAAATCTCTGTTACTAGAAGCAAGGGCAAATGTGTTATTTGAGGTTGAGAAAGTAAGTGGCTGTAAGCGCTGGCTTATGCTCTGCCTAGGGCTGCCATTAAGGTCAAGGTTTTCCTTTTATATGTTCTCAGATATTTTATGTGGTGCTAGTACTGGTACTCAGTAGCAAACCAGCACCACATTTGAGTAACACAGCCCAAAATAACCACAATCATGAATCTTCGTTAAAGCTCCCTTCCATTACAGGACCTCTTCTGTATCACACTGATACAGGCTGTTACACGAACAGCAAACTGTGGTTTATCATTTGTATGCCATCAATAAGCATTCAGAAGGCTGAACCAAGCAGAATTAATTTCTTCCCCAGAGCCAGGTATTTCCCTCGCTCCCTAACAGCTCACTGGCAGAGGCACAATGGGCAGTGCTTCACAATCCTCAGCAATATTCCCTCTGTAGCTCCAGAGGAACCCAGGCATGAGGTTTACTTCTTAAAGCTGCTTTTTTCCTTTTGAAAGTAGTAGCATCAAGACAATCAGAAAAAGCTTAGAGCCTTTTCCTATGTTTAAGCTCTGTCTGTCCTCTTCTTCAACAGCAGACATTAGACATTTCATTCTTGCACCCTTAGATGAGCAAGGGCTCCACAAAACCCATGCTGACAGAATACCTACTGTCCAGCCTTCATTCATCTCACCCAAGCTGTGTCGTCAAGCCTCGGGAGTGTGGCCTTGGTAAGATGCCATGGTGCAGGAGAAAAAGTTTCCCAAACTTGAAAATATTGCCTGTGACCAGTTCTAGCAAAGGGCAGGGGCCACTTCTACTTCCAGTCGCAGTACCCGGCAAAACGGCTTGGATGGTTTCTCATCTTGCCCTTTCCAGCTGGGACCAGAGTGAAGATGACTATTCCTGGTTAGCTGCATTTGCTGGGCAGCTGTGTGGACACATACATTCAAACAGGAAAACTGGCTGTATTTCTTTTTATTGTAATAGAAAAAAACCACAAATAAATCAAAACATCACTTTCTGCCTAAAGACATTATTAACATTTTTAAAATGGCACGGGAAAACCCCAGCAATACAAGACAATAGTAAGTGTGGGCAAAAGGGTTCCGTTCCCTTTCAGGAGTTCAGTTTCCCTCTGCCCCTTTGTCCATCAGCCGGCTGAAGTTTGTCACCTATATACACTTACATACACTTCTCAGTCTAGTTTATGCTCCTGTGAGTAGGTATGGCTGGGTGGAATGTTGGGGGCACAGTCCTGCAGTTTGTACATAACCGTCTTTGGAGAAAATGGGTTTCCTAAGAGGCCCACAGGGTACAGGGGTCTCATTGTCCAGTAAGACCAAGCAAATTGGATTCCCTCCTGCAGTTCTTTTGCCATAAAACACAGGGTAGGTCCTGAGCCCAGGAGATCCCTTAGGACTCCTTGGCTGTTGCAAACAGTTTATAGCCAAGTGAAATTTTACCCAGTGACCTTAGAGAAGCAGCATGATCCCTGCAAAGGGGCTGCTCAGGAGGAGAAAAGACAGATTGCAAAATGCATGGGGTGAACATCTTCCTTTTTCTTTCCTGACTCCCGAGAGGATGTAAAAAATCCTGAGGTAGGCAGCCAAGCAGAAACCAGGCTCAAGACCTCTCAAGTGGTGGACATAGAGGGATATCCTCATTGTGCAAGAGTGCAGGGCAGAAACTGTGGCACCGGTGCTTCCACCGCGGGCAGCTGCGCCTCAAGTGACAGTTTGCTGAAAGGCGAGCAACCAGAGCTGTGCTGGTTGCAGGTACCAAACTAGCATACCTAGATACTGGGCTGCACTCTATCACCAGCTTGAGTATACCTGTTCAGCTGTGGAAGCTCCAAGATCTCTAACATGCTACAGCATTTTTGTGGCAGTCGTGTGTGTACTGAGATGAGAGATGGGTTACTCTTCCCGGAATAGGTATGGGAAAAGACTGGAGAGGGTATACATACTAAATGGGAAAAGTAAGCTATGGCTTAGCAGAAAACAAACACCAATCCTTCCTCCAGAAGCACCAAAAGGCATTCATAAATAATTTATTACAGAATGTTTTCTGCAAACCGGACATTTTGATGGGGAAAGATTTTATATAAACTGATCTGCACTAACTACTACAGTTGTCTCCAAGTCCAGTCCATCAGATGAAATGCTTAAGAAGTTGATGGCACAAGCAAAGAATAACAAGGAAAAAACAAACAAACAAAAAATCTGGGCTTCATGAACCACTGCTGAGAGCAGGTACACACAGAACTGCAAAATGGACTATTTCCACTTGTGTAGTGACTCCACAAGGATCAAGGCAACAAAGTATTTGACAGAATGACTAAACTGCAGTTTTCCTCCATTCCATCCCCTCAAAAATATGAACCATTATAGTCCCCACTGAGTAACAGCATTTGAGATGCAGGACTGAACTTGCAGCAATGCTTTTCCCAACAGAGCAATGGACAAAAAACTATACGTTAGCATAGATGCTTCTTCAGCAGCAGCTGGGACATGCAATCCCCCTTTATGGAGCATCAGCAATGTTTTGGGGTTTGTCCGGTATCTTTCTTGTGTTCCTTCCTAAATGTAACTGCTACAAAGTTGTTCAGGAAAATAGTGTACATACATGCATGAAAAGAAATCAGTGTGCCTATTCTTTCATTCCCCTGATCTTTTGCCACTGCAAATAATTGCAAAGCTGTAAGAATCTTAAACAAGAAGATGCAGTATTGATATAATCTAATGTCAATCTAAGGACAGGACTGCTTCTGCATGCATACCAATCACCTCAGTTGTTCCATAGAAAAGTTTAATTTTACTCTTCCTCATTTTCTTTTCATCTGAGGAGACCTACCACCTATATTTTTTTTTTTTTTTTTACACTTAAGCAGAGCCCTCTCTGTGACATGCTTGACTGCTTTGGAAAAGCCAGCAGCATCAAAGAAATTTGGAACTCCTACTGTGTCTGCAATTAGATACTGAAGGCAGAATTGGTCCACCTTGTATTATGTGCAGTTGCCATGCTACTCCTGCCTTACTGTACTACTGTAACTCTGGGTCGGTAAGAAAACCCCCCAGCTCTTATGCAAAGGTTTATGCATGGTTTACAAGGTTCCGTCTATCTGCTGATAAGCTTACATGTGAGAAAAGGAAACGTTTCACTTCATTTTACATTCACCTGAAATTTGTTCCCACCCCTTCTGCTGCTGAGATTCTGTTCTTTCAGCTGGTTCTTTCTGATAACTCTTGGATCTAGCATTACGAGGCTCTTGGTAACCTTCAGTTCCAGCCTCCCTCCCACACACAGCTAACCCCATTGATAGTTTCAACTTCTGAGTGTGACACTGACACACAGTCCAGCTTGGTCACCTTTCCTACACAGCTGTGCCACTGCAAATATTCACATTAGGTACGTTCAGCTTTTCCCCTGAGCAAATAACATAACGTCAATGAAATATGCAGAAGACTAATCCTGGGACACCTTCACTTCTTAGGCTACCAATACTCTCTTTGTCTTTTTGCTACAGACTTCAGCAAATACCTCCATAATCTAGGCAGTAACAGGAGAAAGAGATACAAGCCTGCAAGGGATGGCTAGAACATCCCCTTATTTATTCCAAGTTGTGTAATGGGCTCTTGAATACTCACGGAATCAATTCCCACTTACCAGCACGGGAGTTACTTAGAAAGTGTCAGCCTACTCAGACAAGACAGCCTTTATAAATTAGTATACTACTATTAGAAATTATGGCAATCTTTTTGGTAGCATTGTCTTACATGCACCCTGATAAATCCTCTCCCTAGAAAATTTCAAAACTTGTCTTGTAACTTCTGTAGAGTTAATTCTGATGGGAAATTATAAAATAGAAATCTGTAAGATTCATGTTTAAAAAGGAAGAGGCCTGGTAAGGCTGGGCACACTGGGTCACTCCTGTTAGCTCTGTCCATTATGTCTGCTGAAGGTATTTCCTCCGGGTGGCTGGATCTGGATGGAGTCCAGGAAGGGCCTTAAAGCTTGTCCAAAAGGTCTGAGAAGGTAAAGAAATAAACATCTCAAACAGCTTACTTGATGAACATCTCTTCCCATTTACTACTGAAGTGCACTCACTTCTAGAGGGCAGTCAAACCAACACCGTAGAAGCAAATTTGAAGAACAGACTTCCACTACAAACCAAAGCAAACCAATTGAACCTATTAAAGAGAGCCTACTGTTCAATAACTAAGAATCTTAAACGTGATTTTATATAAGCTAGTTCTGAGTCCTAGCATGCCCAGGCTGCTAATGTGGCAATACCGTGTCTGAAACTGACTTTCAGTAATTCATTCTACTTCAGCGTGCAAATGAAATCCCTGTTATGCAACTGCAGTGCTCCGTTAAGTACCACATCAATATTAAAGACTGCTAGAAGAATAGCCTCTAGCTGCCTTATAAGACAATGGTTCAACAATCACAGAATAATTTCTGTTGCAATCTGTTGCACCTGGTTCATCTTTCAATATGACTCACTCTCTTGCAGACTTTATCTGATTTTGAGATATGAAGCAGTAAGAGCCCAGGGTAGAAGACATGCGTCTCCCAAATAATGTGGTATACCATTATTACGAGAAATAAGACCTAAATGATGGAGCTCAAATCATCCCACTGGTTTTCTCACTAGCTGAGAGTTAAAAAAAAAAGCAAGCAACCAACCAAAAAACAGTTGAGCTGACCTACCAGGGAGGAACTCGTCATTGCCTCTTTTTCATGCCCTCTTTTTCCATCCAGTCCTCGCTTTAAAACTGAAGTGTTAATTTTAAAATTGCATCTCCCCTGCCCCTTCACAAGCAAAGCTGAAATCTCCACTGCGATTATGGTGCTTGGAGTAAGAGAAGTGACCTTTAACTGATACTGATTTCCTAAGACAAAGAAAACTTGCACCATTTGCTGGAACTTTCTATGCTTGTCTGGTCACACGTAAGAGCCCATCACAAAATAAAGTTAAAGGCAGAAGAACAACCTCCTCCTGTCTTCTTAGTAATGCCAATGCCAGTCAGCACTTGTTGTAAGTGTTGAAATCAAGCAAACAGCATCATCTCCCTAATCTTATGCTGGTTCTCAGAGAGAGCCAGCAGAAACTGGTACCACTGGCTCTGTCAAATGTTTAAGCATGAAGCAATACACTGCAGAGAGGAGCGGCACCCATACTCACGTGGCAAGAATTTCAGCTGGAAGGTCAGTGATGTAGGAAGGGATTTTTCTTCCCGTCAGGAACTGTGACACTTCATTACTGAAGGTGTTGCAGTTACGTTCAAAGACGTTATAAGACTCTCTTCTGTGCCACAGGAAAGGAATTGAAACATGAAGAGACAAACGCAGCAACAAATCTAGCAAGTAGAAAAACTTAGACCCCTAATGAGGAACATCTCCTCACATTAGCACTTTTTTTCCCCACAAAGAATTCTAAGGCAAATAGGTAAAATGCAGACATCAAATCACCTTCAAATTCATTTGAATCAGCGTGGAAAATGACATCTCTCTGCATCACTGATTTTATACAATGTGCTTTTGGAGGGTAAGTGAGGTCAGGTTTCTTCAATTAAAACCACAGGAGCAATAACAGGAAATCACAGGAATTACTGACATTGAAATATAGCCAGAACACTAAATGCTACTGTTCCCTATTCTTGTGAGAAGTAGACTGGACTCTTTAACAGTCAAGACCTTGCTTCTACTCATCTGAAAGTTGGCAGCTTTACTATAACAATTCACCTATGACTCATGGGGCAAAGCACTATTTACTGAAATAAAAAATGTCAAAGGCATTTCAGACATTATTCCTTTTTACAAAAAAACAGTGTGAAAGACTTTCTGGCAGAATGCTTTCTCAGCCTAGCTCAAGGCTGGCACACCAGAGCCTAGCTGGTAGCTCCTTGTGTATCAGTGCATCAGTTCCAGCCTCATATTTAGAGAGTACCAAATAATAGACTAAGCAGACAAAGCTTTGTGAGCATGACTGGTTTCATAATACCGTCCTCCATGCTGCACCCCCTCCCCTAAAGGCTTTTTTTGTTAGACAGATTTTACAGTACAAGCTGCTACTTACCGGAACATAGATTCCCCCAAAGAGGAAAGGTATTCCAGAAAAATTTCTTCTGTGACTTCAGTGTTCCCCAGGTCAACAACTGAGTCTGGGGGGCCAAGAAGTGTCTCTCCCTGTAAAAATTAACAGCCAGAAGACAATGTTAAATGGACAGACCTAATTATTTTGGAGGACTCTACTGCATAGAGCTATCATGGGTTGTCCAGACACAAAAGGAAGAACTTCTGGTATGTTTGTCAAGCAAAAAGCTCTACTGGCCTCTCCTGTTCTGCATTCAGAGAATGAAAAGGAACATGCAACTTACATTTCAGCTTGTATACTCAGCTCTGGTATTGAAAGCTCTAACCTATGGCAAAATTCTGCTTTAGAAGAATGGCCCATCAGTTTTGTCTCTCCAAGAACAGAAAGGTCTGACAAAGCATCATGATTTTTTTTTTTTTTTAAATCTTAAAAATGATGCCTTGAGTTGCTAAGTCTGCATGTAAAACCTATTGATAGAGAGTTAGACAAGGTGTCGTTTTGGCAATGCAACTGCAGAAGGTGTCTTGGATAGACAGACTCTAGCAGCAGAAGCAACCCCCAGCCTGTATTTAGTGAGGCTTAAACCCAGTGTCCATGTTCCCTTTTCCTCAGATGCCCTGGGCAACCATGGCAAGCAGCCACATCTGGCTGAATTAAGAAGCCTCTTGCTGCTTTTCTAAAGACAGTGACACAAGCAATTCTGGTCAGGTAACCCTATCACAAAATTATCAGAAAAATAAGTTTAACTTACAGGTGCACAGCTGGAGATTCCTCTACTGCCATAGAAGAACTCATCCTTATGGACTATTATAGAGGTGTGCCTGCCACAGAGAACAAAAAACAGGTGAAACAAAGGAAATATTTAACCTAGCACATAAATTACTGGTAAATTGATGTGCTCAAGGACCTCACGAAGTGAATAACTGAAAGAAAAGGTCAATGTGTTTCTGTGAGTAGGAACAGGATCTGCTAGGACATGAATGGATATGGAAGCAGTGATTATCAAGCCTATGTAACTCTAGTTGGGAAAGAACAGGCTTAGCTAGGTGCCCAAGCATGAAGGAACACAGGAAGAGAGGGACTTCCACACCAGCATGAGACCTCCAGCAGCCTCTTTCAGCTAAAGGGTTGAGGGTGAAGTCAGAGACAGAGCTAGCCCTGCTACTGCCTTGGCAGAAGTGCATGTCTGATAGACACTGACTGTGAAGAAGGTCAGACAATCAACAGAGAGGAAAATGGATGGACAAAGGTTTGGGGTTTTTTTGCCTTTTTTAAAAAAAAACCCCAAACCTTTTCTATGAATTATAACAGATTGGCGGGTGTTTTGTGACCAAACGTAGCCATTGCTCTTACATACCAGAAGGCCTGGCTCTGTAATACCTTCTTCCTACCTATTCTTTTACTCTCATGTTTAGTCTTGCCTGCAATTAGCAGACAAAATGCTTGGGACAAGGACAACATCCCACCCTTGAAAAAGTGTACAAGTGCACTAAATCACAACAACTACTACCAACACTTTTTTTTTTTTTTTTTTTTTTTTTTTTTTTTACAGAGTACACTGAGGTTTGAATGGAGAAGTTTAACCAGCACCTTACTGTAAATCATCTTACTATCAATCTGTATTCAGGAACAAAAAGTGCCTTGCTCTCTCTTCAGCACCAAAACGTTCTTAAGATCTGAAGCATATATAATCTAATATTGAAAATACTTCCTATACCACATAGTGTTTAACACACATTATACAGTTTAAGTCTAGTCACTTACCAGATGCCATCCAGCTGTTTCCCTGTATGCAGAGAAAAGAAGAATTATTAGCAACATATATTCCAGACTTCAGCTTACCTTCTGTCAATCACTTAGGAACCATGTTTATTATTTCACCATGACAGTAATACCAAAGATTTCATCCCAAAGTTGCTTCTAAAGAAACAGAATGTCTTTCAGATGAACTATTCTGTCTACACTACTGCTGTACTTTTTTTCTCCTGTATGCAGACGTAGCAATGTCATCCTATTCTGCCAGTGCTTACCTTCCTTGGGCTTTTGTCTACAGACCAAGAAAAGAAACCTTTTCCTAAAATTAGCGTCTTCAGTCAAGACCAGAAGAGTTGAATTTTATACTGACTTCATATTTGTAGGCAGTTAGCCAGCACAGAGTATTCTGTCTTCTTTTTCAGTAACTGACGAGAGATCTGACTTTAACATATGATCTGTGGTGATAGTCTTTATAATCTATTCCACGGTTTCCTCCTTTCCATCCCTCCCCCTGCCCTTAAAATTTAATATTTGAAGTGGGAGTTAGGGGGGAGAAGTGCAGGGTTGAAATTCATACAACTTATAAAATTGTGTGTTTCATGTAACACAGCAACAAAGACTTGCTTCAGACACCGCTAAATTGATAACATCCTTGTGCCTTAGAGAAAAAGTCCCTTCTGAAATGCTTTTCCAGTTCTGTAGAAGTGGGAAACCTATATCTCTCTGCGTTCATGGTAGGATCTCAAGATCAAACCTCTCTTCAAAGGGTCACCAGCTGTTACTGCTCTAGGCTCAATTATTTTATCACCTATCATAACCTAACGGCTTGATCTTTGGTATCATACCACTTTGTAAACTTGTAGGCAGCAACAGCATGCTATGACAGATGCACTATAACTCTATTTTGCCAAACAAGGTGCACAACACCCAAAAAAGTGGATTTAGAACAGAAAAACTGTGAGCATATCAACATTTGGTATTCTACTAAACCCAAGCAGTAGACCGAGCGCTCCTTTGCCGTAGCTTCTGCTTGCTTGCAGCAGGCTCCTGATTCTTTTAGTCAGCTTCCATGTTTAAGTGCTCTCCCCCAGCAGACCAATTCCCACACCACTATCCTTTATATACAAGCAGCACCTATTCCAATATGTTTTGTTGTTATTGTTCATCTTTGAGATACCAGAATGTGACGATCTGCTAAAGTCACCTGCAGGTTTCCCAGAGCTAGATAAAAAACACTGTAGACACGATAAAAAAAAAACCAAAACAAACCACCTGAACGAGAGGCACTGTTGTAGTAAAAATTTGTTGAGAAAGCACTGATGGGTTAACTTGTGGCCAAGAGGCTTTGCTCTGGTTTGGACACCATCTGTTTGCATCATACCGGCCTCAGGCTTCCCAGAGCTAGCCACAGACCTTGTTTCCTGAATTCTGGGCCGTTATGTCTAGATATTATCCTCCTCCTTTAAATACAGCCTCAGAACTGTGGTATTTTTTTTTAATGCTTTATTCAAATGCTTGTGACATTCAGGCTTTTCTTAGCTATCTTGAGGGCCACTGCCTTAACTGACCTTAACTCAGGATTTGGCTGCATCCCCATCACACTGTCAGCCTAGCAATTATTCCACCAGCCACCCTGCTCGCATTCTCACAGCTTCTGATGCTGAAACTGCACTGCAACTGCTATTCAAAGGCTGGAATCGAATGATCAGAATAACAATAAATTATTCCACTCATTAAAAAAAAAAAAAAAGTTTGTTAAAAATAAAGCATGGCTCAGTTGCATTCCCCTGCTCTTCTCCCACAATTCCCAAAGAACATTATACACTGGGCCCCAGTTAGTGTTCCAGGGGCCCAAAACTAAAGAATAAGTTTGACAGAGCAGTATTTCATCCCTCAGCCCCCATAATGCTGGCTTCCCTGCTGAAGCTTTAGGGGTCACTCTTCTTCTGTTGGTGTCCAGCTTCTTCTAAAATACCTGGTACAATATTAGTGAGGGGGGTACATTGTCCCAGTTCCACTTGACTGGTGGAAAGACATTCTCCCATTGTCCGTCCTTAGGTGTGTCATGGCATCAGTGGCCTACAGAGAGGCAGAGGCATTGCCTTTCCCCTTCTATAAGCAGAAGGTCTTGGGGTATTTATTCCCTCCTATTCCTTTGTCAGGGCTGTTTTGGTCTGCAAGTGCCAGGAATAAATATGGTACTTCAAAGCAGCAGTAGTTCTTCACAAGTTCTTTCTCTTGGGCAAAACCAACTTTCTGTCATCATGAGGACTGGATAAAACAGAGGAACAAAACTGATGAGGGTAATCCTTCCAGAGTTCTGAGAAAAAGATGGTTACTTGTCCAAGTAAGGAATAAACAATTACTAACACATTTTTTCCATGTAAGTCTGAAGCAAAACAGGCACAGAGATAGATATCTGTTTCAGACGAGGGTCGTATAAGAGTGGAGGGCAGGGAAAAGGCTGTCGTGACATTAAAGACATCAGTCAAAGCAAGCACACACAGTTTTGAAGTAGGTGGACTGATCTGTCACTACCGTGGATAACAGCCAGGCAGCAAGCATATTCACTATCAACCTATTGCACAGAAATGTAGGCATGGAGTAGGACGAAGGCCAAGAGACAGTAGCAGTGATGAGAGAAGCGAAGCAGTGTGTTGCAACATCTCAGGAGAATTTGCTGCCCCTTTAGTGTGTCCCACACTGCTGTGCTCCTGAAGCCTCTGGCCCTTGTTCCACACCTTCCCCATCAGAGCTTTTGCCTCGTGCTCTAGAGCTGCCAGAAATCAGTGACACTGCAGGCTCATCAGCAACACGTGAGGCAGGGCATAGTGGACTGCCCTCACTTTTGCAGCTGGCCTACAATAGGATCTACTGCTTGGCTTTGCACAGTTACTGTTCTGCATATCTGTTAATAAATTATTACACATTTGTTTACAATAAATCACTGTTTTCCACTAGAAACTTGAACTTTATCCTTCAGGGCAAAGAAATACACTGTTTCAAAGGAAGCACATGCTAGAATTGTATCTGCCCTTTTGCACGCTAAATGGAAAAACATCTTAATATTTACTTTCACACACATTTCCAGCAAACAATGATGAAAGACCTTCCACAAAGTTGCCACTTTGCACCTAGATTCTGTGTGCAGGTGAAAGAGTGGCATTGTCAGTATCTGCTGTAACAGGTGCTGCCAGGAACCTGCTCCTGCGATTACAACACCTACTTGAAAAGATCATTGCAGCAAAGGCTACCACACATTGGGCTGGCTCTAGCAAGACTGCAACCAGCATTTCGAGGGGGGTGAATCTTTCCACCTACTTGACACTTGTGAGACCACATTTGGAGTGCTGTGTCTACTTCTGGATCCCCTCAGTACAAAAGACACTGATGCCCTGGGCTGGAGCACTTGCTGTATTGAAGAGTGGCTGAGAGCACTGGTCTGTTCAATCTCAAAATGAGAAGGCCAAGAATCCTTATTGCTGTCTACAACTATCTAATGGTATGGAGGAAAGGGGACCTTGTTCTACTCAGTGGTGCACAGTGAAAGGCAGAAGGAAAATGGGAAATTCCCAACTCAGTAAGGAGAAAAAAATTTACTATGAAGGTGGTCAAACACTGGGTCAGGGATCCAGAAAGCACGTGGGCTTTCCATCCCTGGAGATACTCAGAACTCAGCTGCCCAGGGCTCTGAAGAATCTGCTCTTGCCAGATGTACCTTTAGCAGGGCCTCTAGAGATCCCTTTCCACCAGTGCAATTCTCTGACTGTATGAACAAAACCCAAACAGAATTCAGGAATGGGACTTTGCATTAGACTGCAGTCCAACCCCAAGGGGCTCCTCTCTGGCGGCTACACACAAAGTCTGTAGCCAAATACAGGCAGCAACTGCCAGGGCAATAACAGCACAGCTCTTGGCAAGTGAAGGTGACTATCTTCACAAGGCAGGTCTGTCTGTGACTGCTCAGACAGGTCAGTTTGTGCCAAGCACTGCTTTGATGATCTTAATGGAGTTGCTGACCTGCTATTTTTGCTTGGCTCCTGTAAAACATTAACCAGGCTGGCACTGTGAAAAACACATGCCAGATTTGTAACACTGATGACAACAAGGCATCCATGGTAGCTCTCCAGCTTGCTGCAGACAAAATAAAATCCCTTTCTGCCTCTGGTGGACTGTGCTTGGTCAGAGGCCATGCAAACCTCTCCAGTGACAACACCATTGGGTAACCCCATGCCTAAGAAACCTGGCATTATTTGCCACATACACACCACCCAGACTCATCCAAGACCAAGAACTTTTGGTATGCTGCTGCAGTTTCCCATGCTGCACAGCTGGCTGTTGCCATCTCAACTCCAAACTGACTGACAGAGGAATAAGTCAATGGCCACCAGCTTCTGAGGAACGTGGGCAGCTCCCTTTCTGCTGCTCAGCAAGAATCTCGATGTTTTTTGTCTGTTGCATCAAGTAATAGGTTCTGTGCAGACGTTCACAGACACCATCATCCTCCTCCTGAAGTTTTGCCTCTGGTGATAATCCTCCTATATGACTCTTGCCCTTCTCTCAAGCTCAGACACTGCACAGAACAGGTGACAGCTGACAACCACTGCCCCTCCTGACAAGCTCATGTAAAGCAGTCAGGGCGGCCTGCACTAAGGAGTTATGTCTTGCCTTCTGCTGGACGTTGCACACTACATACAAAATACACTGCTTGCAGCCTCTGAAGGCTCAATACACATACCAGCCCCAACAGCACGGCCAAGCAAGGATTGGCACTGCTCTGTTTCCACAGCCAGCTGCCCAAGTGACAGCATGAGTACAGTATCGCTGTAGCAGTGCTAGGGCACAAGTTGTATCCAGGCCTTGCAGCAACACTTTCCAATAAAGCTATTCTAACAGCACTGTCCAGCTTAAAAACCAGAAGGTCAAGCTTGCCAGGGAGCTTCCCCAAATATTTCTACAGTGCAATAGAGCTTACATCCTGTAGTCAATTGAGTGGTCTAGAAGAAGGGATTGCAAATACCATTTGGGATACAGGCAGACACCAACACATTTCATGCTTTTCCACTCCTTGCCACAACACTCCAAACTCCTGTGGCATGCTGCAATGTGGGCAGAACTATACACAGGTGCTGCCACCAAAGCCAACACACTTCCTCATAACCTGAGGCTGTCTATACAGAAAAGTCTGATTCCCCAGTAATTTCCATTTGAGCTGCAAAAGCTTTTAAATTGCAGGCATTACCCTTCATTCAATACCTACAGCAAAGCTAATCCAAATTACGTACATGCATATAACGGAGAACAGGAATGTCCTGATGGGATGGTACTCTTTTGGGTTTCTATTGTTCATCCAGTTAAAACAAAGCAACAGCAAGACACCTAAAGAGCTTAAATATTGCAAGGGACAGAGAGCTGTTGAGTAGGAAAGGGTGTTCCAAATTTAGATATACACACTTAATCATACAACAGTTAGTGCACATGGTCAAGTTACCAGGTATCAGCTGTCCCAAGTAACTGCTTGTGTGCAAGATCAGCCTGAAGTAAACGTGAAGCAAGTCAGCTTGATTTGATCTGCTTCCACTATGAGCTAATGCAAGTCAAGCTGCCTTGTGCCTGTCACAGACCACCAACTTCAGTTACAAGACAGAACTTTGAGAGCTGCAAGACATTTTTTCTTTAAGCCCATGAAGCAATAGGATTTTAATCTTCCTTAAAGATTTCTCTGCCTTTGGACATCTACTTCAAAATCAGCCCTGCAAGCTGAACTAATCTTTTTTCCTCTCTACCATCCACAGAATCAGGTGAATTATGATTTCCGTACTGAAAACAGAAATCTCATTGCATTCAAGTTAACACTTATTATTAGCAGATCGTGTAGTTGGACAGACAAATGTAGTCTCACAGACTGAGTAGGGGGAGAGAGGTGGAACAGTACCTGTAGAGGTGTACGTAGCGCAACAGCGCACAAAATTTAAACACGCTGCTTCTGCTATCAAAGGCAATTGAACGATAATATTTGGCCATGTACGCTTTAGAATAGAAATATTTGCTGAAAAATTACATAAAACTCACAGAAAAATAAGGACAAAGGTAGTCAGGGTAGAAAAAGAATAAACTTGCTGAGAAAAGTGAAGACATGTCCAAGGGGCACAACTAAGTCACTTTAATGCCTGCTATGAACAGTGCTGTATAGCTCTGCCTTCCAGGTTCACCAATTAGCGACAACAGAGAGAAATGATACTGAAAAAGTTAGGATAACGTTTAGTAGTGAGAGCTGATCCTTGAATGCTGTACTGATATAATCCATAATACCTCTGGATCCTATTAGCACAACTGAAGGCACCATGTGGTGATGCTCTTGCAGTGTTCAGCCCCATAAGAGGTACTCTTGCCCCTCTGGCAGGGGGATCTGAGCTTCTGTTTTCAAGCATGCTAGGAATTGATTTTAGCACAATTAACCACCGTATGTTTCTTCTCTCTAACACACATGTGTTTCAATATAGGTGATGTTACAGAATTATCACTCAAAGCAAAAGCACTGTTTTAACCAGATTTGGCATCTCTGGAAAGAACACCATACATAGAAATGACAAATGTTTAGCAGTAAATCATCTAAGAAGTCCTTTCCTCTTCAATTTCTATGACTTGCCCTGATGACATACAGTTTATAAACATCACTGACAAAAGAAAAAAAAAAAAAAAAAAAAAGGAAAAATGGTTATTGACCATCCGAAAGTAGCAAGTTTTTCCTGATCACCAAGGAAAAAAAGGTGTGTTCATGAGGCAAGAGGAGTATTCTCTCCGTCACTTTGGTCCTGGAGAGGTTTCTAAAATAATCTGGAGGTATGACAGAACTGAGTGTAAATGCACAGAAGATACTTAACTTGAATGAAAAAAGGAACAAACAATTATTTGTTTCACAGACAATCCACTCGCTGGATCCACATAAACCGAAATATTCTGCAGTCTGCATTGTCACTGTGACCATGCAGGCCTAGTTGGCCCTGTTCCACAAACATGTCTGAACTCTGCCAGCTACCAGGCAGTACTAGCGAGCAATGCTTCTCACACTACCGAGAGGTGTGTGCAGATTTTTGAAGTCTTCCTTTTCATTGCTCAGACTCCTAGAAATTTAGCACCAAATTTATCACAAGCACAAAGTCTTTAAGTTGCTGTTTGGATAGCATAAAAAGCATCAAGAATGAAGTCATACACTAAGTCCTTTTATGTGTAAATTCATAAAGCTACAAGATCCCAAGATTGCCTTTGTGGGTAAGAAGACAGCTAAAAAGCCTTTGCTTGATCTATATGAAGACTGGCATAGAGATACATAAAGTGACAACCTGTTTCTGTGCAAATCTTTGCTTGGACCAACGCTTTGATGTAAGACTGGTTAAAATCTGCTATCCAGTGCAGGAAACACACATCTCCCAAAGCTGCTGTTGCTGTCTGGATAACAGAATAGGTCACATACAATCTCTCTAATATTTTCTTGTAAGCTTTGCAAGCCTATTGTTTATGCGCATGAAACTTCATGTTAAGAATTATTTGGATTTTCATGTTAAGCTTGCAGGAAAGCACAGAATCTCCTCGTAGGATAGATGAGTAAAGTGAATACCGACAAACTGTAAAACAAGATTACACAGAGCCATCTGTTCAGACAGTAAGCCTGTGGAGAAGTCTCATTTCACACATACTGCTGATCTGACACAGGCCACAGTGTACACGTAACAGGTATAAACTGCTCTCTCATCGCGTTATTCCTAATTCACGCTTCCAAAACTTCAAACAAAACCTAAGTTTCTTTTGCATCCCCAGTCTGAGGTTCAGTTGGAAACGCACATATTTTTGGCAAGACATACAACAAACTTTTGCAAACTCTCTGGAAGGAAAAGGTGGCTAGCAGCACATCACCAGCCATGCAACGCCTAGCCTAGTGCGGCCTCACCACAACATGGAGCCGTTTGAACTCAATAACCTTGTGAACAGCAGAAGGCTTTCTTCCAGTTCAGCTTTCCTGCCGAGGCGTCACAGCAGTCGGTGGGCCAGGAACTGAGCTTTCCCTCACTTCAGGGGGTAAGCAATACTTTTAATTAGCTTTTAATAAATAACGCCAGCGAAGCAGCAAAGGACGGATGGGGAGGAGAAGAGGCCGGACCCTGCTCGCCTGGAGCTGCCTCACTGACACAGCTCGTCCCGCTGACAACGGAGATGCTGCAGCTAAACCCCACTTTGCTCCCAGGCCCCCAAGTCGGGCTTCAGCCACCGGCCACCGCCGCGGCCCGCTGCCCGCACCCTCCGGGAGCCCTTCCCCGCAGGGCCGTTCCCTCGGGAGAGCGATACCGGGGGGGGGGAGAAAGTCACCCCCGGGGCTGAAGGTGGAAGGGCGGCGATTTCGGCCCCATTTCCCGGCGGGGCGAGGCCGGGCCGCGGCGGGGACACAAGCCCCCGGGAGGGGTGGGCCGGGCCGGGCCCCGCACGGAGGCGGGGCGGTGCCGGTGCTGCCGCCGTGCTCTTACCCAGCATGAGGGGGCTGAGGCGCCGGGCCATGCCCTTGGACAGGTCGTAGACATAGAGCTTCACAGGGTGCAGGGCCAGCGGCTCCTCCATGGGGGCGCGGGCACGGCTGCCGAGTGGCACCCGCCGCCCGGCCGGGAAGTGGAGGGGAAGGGGAAAGGGCGGCCCCGGTGCCGGTGCTGCCGCTGCCGCTCCCGAGTGCGGCGGCACCGACCGTGAGGTGACAGGCGGAGCGGAAGGCGGCAGGGCTCCCTCTGCGCATGCGCGGCAGCCGGCGAGCGGCCGGGCGGCCCCGTCACTGCGCCGCTGCGCAGCGCGGCGGTCCCGGCCCGCGGCGGCGCGCGGGGCTGGGGGAAGTCCCCCTGTCATTGGCTGAGCCACACGCAGGGGCGGGCAGAGCTCCCGCCTCCTTTCCCCCCCCCCTCCCCTTCATCGACCAATCCACGTGGGGGGAAGGCGGGGCTTCCCGTGGAAGGGGCAGGGCGGGGCTCCATTTTTCTCTCACCATTGGTCAGAGTTACGATGGAAGGCGGGGCTCCCCTGGTGAGTGGCAGGCAGCGGCGCGCGGCCGCGGCGCTGAGGGGAGAGCGGCCGTTGGGCCTCGTGCCGCGCTGTGGGCCATGTCGGAGTGGGTGTCCTACTACCGCGGCGAGGGGCCGGAGGATGGGGAGGACGAGCGGCAGGAGGGGGAGGAGGAGGGGCCTGAGGCGGTCGGTAAGGGCCCACCAACCCCCTCAGGGAGGGTAGCTCAGGGCCCGCTGCCTTCGGGGGCCAGCGGGAGGAGCTGACCGCTGCTAAAACGCTTTTTTTCCCCTCTCTTTCCGTAGCGGACTACAAGTTCTCAGGTCGGGACAGCCTCATTTTCTTAGTCGATGCCTCCAAGGCCATGTTTGAGTCCGTCGGGGACGAAATGACTCCCTTTGACATGACTATACAGGTAAGGCTGCCCAGGGAGCCTAGAGGTGCTTCGCAAACTCTCGGGAACGCCTTCGGTACAGCTGTGGGTACGGCTACCGGGTTGTCACTCTGCCTGGGCCGTGGCTGTGAGGTCGCTGTGAAACTCGAGCAACTCGGAATGCTGAGTGCTCTGGGTTTGTAAGGACCCGTTGCCTGGTGGGCTGTGTCCAGAGCTTGGTGGGGGAAATGTTTATAGATATAATGAGCAATGAATCTGCATTCAGGTTGGTGTATTTAAGAAATGTTTATTTCATTGATCTGGCTTGTAGAAGGGGAATACTACTGAAAAATATCTAAGGCTGTGTACTGAAAAATTCTCTCAAAAAACAAGATCCCAAATTCTTTCTGCTGGTGAAATTTAGCTTAAGGTTTTTGTTACAGTTCTTCTGTTTGCTGCAGTTCTTCTGTTTGCTAGAGTCTATTTGTATAAACTGCTAATTGCCAAAGACAAAACTTTTACACCCTTACTGCAGCTGATTTTCTTAATATTTTGACCTGTGTGCATTTTTTTTTCAGTGTGTCCGGAATGTGTATACCAGCAAAATTATTAGTAGTGACAGGGACCTGTTGAGTGTTGTGTTTTATGGTACAGAAAAGAACAAGAACTTGGCAGATTTCAAGCACGTCTATGTTCTTCAGGAGCTGGACAATCCAGGTAAAAGCAGTAAAGTGATACGAAGGCTATGCTGAAAGATGGAGTAAGGAAATCTGTGTATTAGCATTGGCAGTAACTTGTCTCTGAAAACAGAGAGCTATCAGATAAACAGAAAACTTCCAGCTACTGAGGTGGGGGGGATATAGATTTAGAAATTTACTGAAAGGTTAGAAACTTTGTAGGAACTTAACTTATTCTGTTACAGTTGGTTCAGATCCCTTTCCTATATCTTTTCTTCTATTTTAACACGGTGGTTCACTTGCTGTCTGCTAAACCTAAGAGGATCTCAACAGAACTCTTGAAAGCCCATCATGTGTCTGCTGCACTTCAGAAAAGTGCATGTACCTGCTAACACGCCATGGATTCCAGCTGATGGAAGATATCACAGAATGGTTGAGGTTGGGTGGGACTGCTGCAGCAAGCAGGGTCAGCTAGAACAGATTGTCCAATATGTTAATCTGTTTGTGGGGTGTTCCATCTCTTGTTTTCATAACAAGTTTTGCAATTCTGGCATTTAGCTCTTCCATTTTCTTAGAATTTCCTAGGCTTACCAAGCATCTACTTGATAATGACTGCCAGTTGCTGAATTGGAAAAGGTAGGAGGAGGAGTGCAAAGAATGCATGTTAGTGGTACATTCTCTGACAGCGGAGGATCTTGTGGGGGGATTTTGTCTACTGGCTTTTAATAGAAGCCTTTATCTCTGTGGAGGTTTGATTTCATTTTCTTAACTAGGAGGTGCAGGTTTAATAACACATGGGGTTCTCTTGTAAGAACTGTGCCTTGTCCTAGTTTCAGAATTAATTACGATGGGGACCTGACAAGATTGACTGACGTTCTCTCTTTTATGGCAGCAAGCGCCTTAGGCTTCTGGCTCATCCTTTTTTCTCCTCCTTCACTGTTTGCCCTTTTGCCTGCATTAGAGACAGTAGCTTTGCCATGCTGATAAAGACCGTGCAGGTGAAAGGTGGATGTTGCTAAAAAGGAAGAGAATTGTGTATTGGCTGTCCCTGGAGAACAGCATGCTCTAGAGAAGGAAGAAATACTGTAGTTATTATACAGTACATAATTATGAACACTTATGCTATTAATAAAATGACAACTGAGGAGATGAAAATAAAATAGTAAATGAGGGGGGGAAATATATTTTCAGATGAGATTTCAAAAGTGCTATAGAATTTGAGTGAAGGGCAAAGGAAGAAACTCGGGAGAATGCAGTAGCTGAGAAATGAAAACTTGTCTCCCTTTGTAGAGTTATGGGAGAAAACAGAGAATCTGCTGTTAGCCAGGTGGGAAAAGGAGTCACAGCTGGGCTAGAGTAATCTGCAGAGCTTTAGAAAAGCCATCAACACCTGCCCTGAACCTTGCTGTGATCTATGGGCTGCATCTGACCTCTAGGTTGATTCTATCTGACACGAGTGGCAAGGGAGCAGGAGGAATTCACCTTCCCAACGTGCCGTGGAGATGCAGGATGTATTTCAGGCTCCTCTCCTTTCTCTGGTCACACAGTAGTATGCATGCTTCTGCAACAGGTGCAATTGTTGCCTTTCCTGCTGAGCACTTGTCCTTTCAGTGTAGAGGGTTTGTGATATTTTGATCCCTGCCTGTTTTCCTCCTGCAACAGAGAGCCCCACATTGGTGCCAGCGTACTTTGTGTCCTCTTGGCCCTAGTAGATGCTTTCAAGTGGTAAATTGCATGAACTATTGCAAATGTGAGGCTATGCTGAACAATTTTCTCAGCCAGATGTTGGAAGGGCCCTGCCACAGAGGCCTGCTAGGGGTTATTACTCAGATGTCAGCTGCAAGAGACCCTCGGTGCATATTTAGAATAGTTTGCAGTACTTTTTTTTCTAATGCATATAAATTCTGTGATCTCCTTTAGGGGCAAAGCGTGTTCTAGAGCTGGACCAATACAGGGGAGATGAAGGACGAGTGCTTTTCCGTGAGACCTTTGGCCACAGTGCTGACTATTCTCTGGGTGAAGCACTCTGGGCCTGCTCTAATCTCTTCAGTGATGTCCGAGTCAGACTGAGCCACAAAAGGATCATGCTCTTCACCAACGAGGATGACCCTCATGCCAATGACAGTGCTAAAGCCAAGCTGGCCAGGACCAGAGCTGGTGATCTGAGAGACACAGGTCATTATTTTCCTCTTTAATTGCAGGCAGAATAAAAGTGATGTATCCTTGCAGTAGATATTAACTGCATTGCAAGTTTGTGATGGAAAAAGAATGTAAAATCATCAGAACCAGGGAATCTTTCTGATGCTTTCTAAATTAGAAATTTGGTATCTAATCTAAATTAGAAAATCTGTTACCCAATCTGGTATCCAAAAACTAATACTTATTTTCTAGGATCTCTATTTCTATGCCGATAGCATAAATCAGGACTCGAGAGGGCCATGGAAAACAAACTTCATTTCATTGTTCCATCATTTTCCTGGAAGGGAATAGTAACACTAAGTTAACACAAAAGGAAGATTACTTTAATGGCTACATTTTGAGTTAGCTGAAGAACAGCAACCTGAGCTCAGAGTCTAGAGAGCAAATGCTTCATTAGTTCAACTACATAGCTGAGATAACTATTGTTTTTGGAGTTCAGCAGATATGCTGGACCTGGAAGCTGTGAGGCTTCCTTAATCCATTAGTCCTTATAACAGGGAAAGGGGAATTTCTGGACTCATTACTTTCCTCTATGTCTGAGGTAAGACATAGGTGCTTGTTAGTGCTGTTTCATACACAATGTTGTCCAGATTCTTAACTAGGGAGGAAACAGTTTCTTTACTACATTGTTTTGACTGAAGCTAAAGAATGCCTCTTGCCTCTTTCCCTGTAAACTTTCACATCTGATGCAAATGACAATTTTGAGCATATTTTTGCTTAAATTCTTTGCTTAGATAGAGAAATCTGAGGGTGCTGAAAAACATGCTGCTGTAAGAAAAAAGCTATTTCTGTGATCCTCCTCTCTTTACTTTGTAGGTATCATCCTGGACTTGATGCATTTGAAGAAGTCTGGAGGGTTTGATATCAATTTGTTCTACAGGGATATCATAAACACAGCAGAGGATGAGGACCTTGGGATCCAATCTGAGGAGTCAAGGAAACTGGAACATCTCATGAAGAAAGTACGAGCAAAGGAGACAAACAAACGGACTTTAGTCAGGTTTGTGCCTAATTGTGATATTTCATTCAGTGGAGGCATCTGATGTTACTTTTGGCATGCATCTCACCTCCCTCTTCTGAAATGATTGGTCTATGAAGGCATCAGTGCTTACGTTCCTCAGTCTTAATTCCTTAGTTCAAGATTGGTGTTTCTTCCCTAGGTTCCAAGGATATTTGTCCTTGGTGGATGAGACAAGTAGAGAGTGAAGCTAGGCCTCATCTTTTCCTCTGTGTGACCTCCGCTGTATTAAGCTTGGCCAAAAATGATTATTTTTCAAAAAATGACACCTTTTCCTAGTAAAATACTTACCAAAAAATTTGCAAGATGTAAAATTGTTAGTTTCTAGTGAAATCTGATTGAAATTAGGCTTTTCTTACTAGTGTTAACTTAGAAAAATTTCATTACAATGTCACTGGTAGGTATTTTGGTCTATTATTAAATAGTTATATGTGGCCATTCTTGTCTAGGCACTTAGTGTGGATTCACACAGCCTTGATATTTCTGATCCCAATTAGAGATGTTTACAGAGAGATTCAAGGGTTCTTGACAAAACAGAGCAGAAGTATTTTTGGAACCATGTACTCCATGACAGGTGTTTTTTTGAATGAGTGAGTTCATAGCAGAATGATGTGGAAGCACAGTAAGGGGGTAAACCTCACAGCCTACTGGTTTTTTTTAATATATATTAAAAAAAAAAAATCCCAACCTGATCTGTTGTCACTGGCATTCTTGCTCCTGCTCACAGCTTTATTTTCCTCTTCTGGGAATGTTCCTCAAGTTTTCGAATAATTGAGGAGGAAGAATCCTGTACCAGTGATACCTTTTAGAGGAGAAGTAGTAACGTTTACAGTAATTCACTGTTCTGCTCTCAGAACTTGACAATTACCTCCAATTTTAAACCTTCACTTCTCAATTTTAATTCAACTTCTGATTTTTTTTTTTCTTAAATTGTGGTATTGTTTGTCTTGACAGGGAAATTTTTGGGAAATTTTGCCTTCTGTGCAAACACCTGTGTGAATTCAGAGCTCATACTGCATTAAGCACATGGAGGGTGTCCAAATGTGAACTTGGCCTGTGCTCTGCTTGAGCATAGCTGCCCTTCAGAGTGAAAAAAGATGAAAGAAATTTGCTAAAATTATTTGTGTTTAAATAATTTTTGTGACCAGAAGTGACAACATGGTAAGAATGTTTTTATACAAGTGAGATTATGACTCAAGTAATAGTATGTTTCCAGAGATACATGTGATTTTTGGGAGGAGAACAGAAGGAGATCAGAGAAAATAAGTTGTCTGAGGGGATGGATGACTTTTGCAAAAGTGATCTTTCAGAAGTCTCAAGTCTTTATCTGCTTTGTTATGCAGGTTAAATCTGTATCTGAACAAAGATCTTTCACTTTCTGTTGGTGTTTACAACCTTGTTCAAAAAGCTTATAAACCATATCCGGTGAAACTTTATCGGGAAACTAATGAACCGGTTAAAACAAAAACAAGGATGTTTAACGGAAAGACAGGCAGCTTGCTCCTGCCTAGTGACACAAAAAGGGCTCAGGTAATGTATTGGTTATGTGGCTGCTTTTTCCTGTCTCTGAGATGTTGGGGGAAAAGCTGGTTCTCTTGCTGCTTTTGTTTGTATTTCACTTTCAAGATCAGATGACAGACATATTTATATTTGTATGTCCCTGGGGGTAGCCTGGTCACTTTGTAAGCTATGCAGAGTGACACTGGGTTGTTTCTCTGGCACAGCTGTCAAGGGAAAGCATAGCTGCTGGTGGAAGTGTACTCGAGAACACAGGTCACTTCTTTCTTTAAGGCAGAACCAGGTTATCAGAGCTTGATCTTATGTGGCCCTGTGCTGTTGCTGCTGGTGTTATTTTTTGATTTGCGAGGAACAGATTTGGTCTATTTTATTAAACATACAAGTGTGAATCACGGGAGGGGGGTTGGAGCTCTTTTCCAAACAAAAGGCATATTACCTTTGGGTTTTGTTATTTTGTTGTTTGCTTTGCCTTCCGGCTTGATAGCTTGGCTGATACAGATTGCATATCACGTTCTGTTCAGTCACAGCCTTATTTCAAAGCAGGATATGCAGTTGCTAGGTATATTGTCACAAGTGCACTTTGTGTCTCCTTCCATGTCAACGGCTCTTAAAGTTGTTGTCTTAAGATTGAATATTAAGTTTATTTATACTGGACATTAGTTTCTTGAAATAAAGTACGGGAGTTGAACAGAAGACTGAGCGTTAAGCCTTGATGTCTGACCAGCAGCTGGACTACAATATGGTCTTGTTTTTGTAACATGAGTGATGCTTTAAAAACGTTGTCTCTCAGTCACTGTTTCTGCCAGGAGTAGGTAGCTGACATGCATTTACTGAAGCAAGTTTAGGATTGGACAGGTCCTCTGAAAATGTCAGGTCCAATCCAGCCCAGAGCAAGACTCACAAAACCAGATCAGGTCGCTCAGGGTTTGACTGGGACAGCTCTGAAGAACTCCAGGGATGAGATGTGACAGCCTCTCTGTGCCAGGGCTTAACCATTGTCTTAGGAAAGTGCATTTTGCTGATGTCCAGGGGAATTTCCCTTGGGATAATAGTCACAGACTGTGACTTGCCATTTCAGTATGCACTAATGATCAGAGTTTGCTGTGTCTTGTGTAATAAACCTGTTTTCAGTGGAAGACAACAACTGCATCCTCTTCCTGCTCTCCCCTTCATTCCCTGCAATTTTTTTTTGATGGCAGCGCTACTATTTGCTCTTCCCTGGTTTAGACATATGGAAACCGCCAGATTGTGCTGGAGAAAGAGGAAACAGAAGAATTAAAGCGGTTTGATTCTCCAGGCTTGTTTCTGATTGGCTTCAAACCACTTTCAATGCTAAAACATCATCACCATATCAAGCCCTCCCAGTTCATCTATCCTGAGGAGTCCATAGTAAGTGGTAAGTAAAGATGGCAAGAGAAGACTCACCACCTTGCATTAGGGTAACCAGCTGATTCACAGTGTGTTTGAGTGGGGATCATTGAGTGTAAAATCTTTGTCTAACTTAAAAACTTCCTAACGTTAATAAGTATGGAATTAACTGTTACTGCCCCTCTCAGCTGCAGTTCTTGTTTTCTTCAATAGCAGAAGAGCCAGTTGGGCTTCATGTTTCATCCATCATGACAAGCAGCTAATCAACTATGAAGATGTAGTCCCAAAATACTTGGTTTTGTCATTCATGAAAGTGAAGGATCCTAACACTGGACAGGAAGGCAAAAGTGGTTAAAAAAACCTCAAACAAACAAAAAACAAACCCCAAACCAGTGAAGATAATCGCTGTTTTTAAGCTAGGAGTGGAAACACAATACTCCGGAAATACGGCTGAATTAACAGCACGTTACAGGCTTGTAAGGAGAGGAGAGGATGCTTAGGACCGCTTTTTCTCCCCTTTTTATGTGTATATGTATAAGTCTTCTTATCTAGAAATATAGCATTAACCTATCCCAAGATGCAATAGTAAAGAAAAAACAGCTCCTCAATCTACTGGTAGATAAAGAAGGCTGAGTTATGACCAGATGCTTTGCAGTGACTGACTAAAGAAGAACGTTTACTTTGCCTTCTCCATCTTAGCAGTTTCCTGAATCAATCACCTTACTTATATGTCTGTCTTTTCCTGAGCACTATATCTGGTAAAATGCAAAACAAATGTGTGCTTTGAGAGAAACATTGCAATCTGAATTCTTACTGTTACTTCTGCAAAATGATGTGCTGCTACTATGATGTCCCAGCAGACCAGAAAGAGGCCTTGTAGATACTTGTTTCCAGTTTTCAACTGTATTTCATTTGACAGATGCTAGTGATTTAATTTCCTTCACCAGAACTTTCACTGGTCTGGTCAGGAGAGACACTAATGTTGTCATTTTTGAAGGCTCCCCCTTCCAAAAGTTGCTTTTTACCTCAGCAATACTGCAAGCATTTCAAAGAAGTCACAGGTTTTGAAACTGTAATATGTGGGGTTACATTCCCGAACAAAAGAGCAAAGCTGTTCATCTGACCAATGCAGTCTTTACTTTCCAGGGAGTACAACGCTATTTAATGCCCTGTTGATGAAATGCTTGGAGAAGGAGGTGATGGCACTGTGCAGATACACCGCCCGCCAGAACACCCCTCCTCGTTTTGTGGCCCTGGTTCCTCAGGATGAAGAAGTGGATGAGCAGAAAGTGCAGATAGCCCCTCCAGGTATGGAAAGAAATGCTGCCGTTCCCTGCATGATTGAATGCAGGCAACATAATAGCGTCCTGTATTGCATGAAAATATTCTTAGTGCTGCTCCCCTTAAAACTGAGGATAGTGCTTTCCAACATCCTTTTTCTTCAGTTTTCTCATTGTAAGCATCTCGTGTTGAATCTATTTTTAAAACCCTGGTTGCATCAGTGCTTGCTCAGGTGTAACATGACTATAGTATCTTCCCTGCCTCCTACCTCTTTCTAGCAGATTCGAGTAACCCACCTAAAAATTAAAAGCCTTTTTTTCTGTTTGCTAGCTAGACAGAATGTTTCTTCCTGAGTTCTATTGTATGCTTGGATACGTTTTCAAGTATTAAATAAATATTCTCACATACTGAGCCTCACACCTCCTCAGCTAAGTGAGGAACGCTTAGGGAGCAAAAGCAGACTCTCATTCTTTTGCATTTTATTACCTCTTTAACTGGAAAGTCCTCTTCTGAGAGGTTGTAAAGTAGGGAAATAACACTGCTTGTGTACAAAGTAAAGCATTTCAGAAATAACGTGGTTATTAACTTAATTTTCAAACAAGCCTTTTTTAAGCTTATGTCCACCTTCCCCATCTCTCATGGACAAGTTGAATTTCTGCACAAAAAACAAGTCACAAGTATCCAGCTCTGCATTTAGTTCGAATCTCTTTCAAAAAGCCATTAGTGATGTTGGTTATATACATTGAGATTGGGATTGAGTGTCATGCTGTAGGTACTAGGAAGCATTCTAGATTGCTGTTGTTTACAACAAAATAGCTAGCTAGTTTGGAGTCATCAGATCTGGATAATAAGCATCTTGGTCTTTCCCATAAATCACTGTTTTGAGGCCATGGTTGTGTATAACTGTTCTCTTCCTTCTTCTCTTCTGTGTAGGTTTCCACATCATTTTCCTACCATATGCAGATGACAAACGTAATGTTGATTTTACAGAAAAGGTCCCAGCCAGTCGAGAGCAGGTGGACAAAATGAAGGAAATAATTCAAAAACTCCGGTTTAAATACAGGTACATGGAGATAAACAGTGTGCATGTGAGGGGGTGGCATGGGGAAGAGAGCAAAATTTTGTCTGTTGCATACATTCAACTGTGGTGTCCACAAGATGGGATTGATGCATTTTGATGCAAACTGCTTCCCTTTGCAGTAGCTTTGTCCAAACTTTATTCTTAATTATTCTGAATACCCAGGCACCACATGCAGTATGTAGCACGTTCTGGAGTTCTTCATAGAATTGCTCTTGTTCTCTAGGCTGTTGTCATTTGTTGCAGAGGTATCACATTTTATTGTGGTTCTGCCAGTGTATTGCAGATCAGACCTGGATCATTTAAATTAGAGCACTTTAGAGAGAATAGTTAGGCTTTTTTCATTATAGATATGATAAATTTTATGAAGTGTTCTTATGGTAGATTTCTTTTTTTCTAGGTATGTGGAAAGTAGCATAACTGGTATTAATGTAGAATGCCACTGTTTTCGTTTTCTTGTACAGCTTTCTAAGTGTCACTCAGCCTTCTAATGTGGTTGATGCATGATGGGATAGTGATTCAGAAGCTAAATTGAAAAGAGGAAAAGCAGTTCTTCTGATGAGATGTGTTGTTGTGTGGGAAAGAGGGAAGTTTTACTTTGAAATAGATCGGTGGCACATCTTGTGTCTTGTCTGTCTTCTTGGCAGCATGCTTTGACATTCTGGGTGATTCTTGACAGGACTGACAGCTTTGAGAATCCAGTTTTGCAGCAGCACTTCAGGAATCTGGAGGCTCTGGCGCTGGATATGATGGAACCAGAACAAGCTGAGGATCTTACAAGTGAGAATTATTGGTGGGTGTGAAGGGAGGTAGGGTAGAGGGCTCTTGACTTTGTTCTAAGTCAGAGATGTGCTACTACAAACTGAAATGTCTTTTTTAAAATATTTCAGTTGTGTGCAGTTCCAAGATGTAGAATTCTGGATGTGTCCATTCTGAAATATCGAAACCTCACTTTCTAATGCTGTCACTTTTAAGATAAATGAAAAATTGTCCACTTTACCCCCCAAAATTAAAATCGAATCACCTTCTTTCTATGGTGACAAATGTTTTATTTGAAATTCTTCTTTTCAAGAGTCTACTTAGTATTTCAGTCTGATAAATGGGCAGAATTACTGAGAGGATTGTTCTGCTAGGAGGCAATGATGCCACCTTGTGGCTGTGAGAGTTTGTGTATCAAAATATCTTGTCAAAGGGTAGAAAACTTCTCCTGATGGGGAAGTTCCTTTTTTAAAATTACGTTGTACTCCAAGAATAGTGTTAGAGTAATTGTTTGTCTCTTCTGAAGTGATATTTAACAAATAATCTAGGTCCCTGTGCTAGATATCACAAAAATACATGACGAAAGCAGCTGTTCTGCCTCAAACTGTTTGCAACCTCAGATAGTAGCCTGTTGTATTTTACATGTCTGATATTAGACCTGAGTAACAGTGCATCCAGGAAGGAAATCTTCTAAATTACTTCCACTGTGTCAGTTTTGCTCTGCATATATATTTCCTGTTCAGGGATATGTGCGAGTATTACATACATATAATACAAATTCTCGATATTACCAAGAGCTGTAAGTTTCTCATTTGTAAATATCATAACACAGGTCTTTGCATTTTGCATGCTTTCAAGACAATTGCATGCTAGTTATTACAGAAGCACAATTGTATCTGGTGATGGCCTTGTTTAGACATTCCTGTGGTCGCTCTGTTTCTGAGAGGACAAATCTTTCTCTTTTGCCAGTGCCAAAGGCTGAAGAGATGAACCGCAGGCTGGGCAACCTGGTGGAGGAGTTTAAGCAGCTAGTTTATCCGCCTGACTACAATCCTGATGGGAAGGCTGCAAAGCGAAAACAAAGTAAGTATTGATGGTACAGACACACTACATGGTGTCCGTATTCTGTTTAGAAGCTTCCGTGTTTTCAGTTTTTCTTGTAGTTTAAAGAAGCTGCTTGTGCAGAAACTCTCTTTACTCATCTCCACAACAAAGTGGATTTACATCCAGTATTGATTCTTAGGTAGCAGAGGATATTGTGGTATCCAGTTGGAGAACTGCTGGAATGAGAAGTGCATAGTGAGGTATAAGAAGCAATATGGGTAAATTATTGCAATTTTTAAAAAACCTTTTTTTAAAAAACTTTGTTTTTTTCGACAGAGTAGTAAAATTGTTCATGCTTTCAGTTTGTGTTGGTGAGGAAGCAGACTTTTTTGCATGGGCTGTTTAGCAAGTCCAAGATGGCATCATTAGGGCTAAATGTCAAAGTAATGGTGAAATACATGAGGAGTTTGGGAGTCTGTGAAGCTCTGCATAAAGCGGGAGTGTCAGTTAGCTTTGCTCCCTGTGGAATCCTTGCGTTCTGCTGTCTCAATGATTATCCCTTGAAAGTTTCATTTGGGGTGATCTTTCTATCAGGACACAAAGTTTCATACCTGAGTTTGAGTTCACTCCTATCAATGAAATACTACATGACTTATGTAGTTACACCTGCTTCTTAAAACAGAATGTGGGAACTAGGTCTGTGAATATGTAGGTAGCTGTTAAAGTACCACGTGCTAACAGCCATTAACTGTGGTATGTGGAAGAAACATTGATGTCTTTCTATTAAGAAACTTCTTAAAATCTTGGTGATCTAAAATTTATCTTTCTAGCTTCTGATAGTCAAACTGAGAAGAGGCCCAAGGTAGAAGTCTCAAAGATGAGCTGCGGAGTCATGTGCAGAAGGGCACTCTAGGCAAGCTCACTGTACCTGTTCTGAAGGATGCATGCAGGTTTTATGGGCTGAAGGGTGGGGGGAAGAAGCAGGAGCTCATAGATGTGTTAACCGAATACTTTAATAAGCAGTAAACAGGAGCAGAAGGCCCTGGTTGACTTTCATCTGCTTAAAATTTTGGTTGTCTTATGTGGGTACTGTGTGTTTATTCTTGCTATGGGCAGAAGGCAACTAAATGTTGCTGAATCTAGCAGTGGAGAAACTTTTTACTCTTAGTTGTGAAACGTATCATCTGCAAAGTTGGATTCTGTTCACAGTAGCCAAAGGCAGAATTAAATTCCCTGCTAACTCAGGTCACCCACTGCAAGTGAACACAGTTATGCCTTCCTGGTTTCTTAATAAAAGTTATTTTGGATTTCTTACTTTGTAACACTGACTATACCATCTTTGCATCATAAAGACAACAAAACACGCTTCAGTATGAGTAAGGAAACAGAATGATTTGTGTTAATGGCACCACATGTATTCAAGCAGCAGGTCAAGTCTGTGTGCTAACAGAAAGTATAAATGTAGTATGTTATTCTCCCACTCTCCCAAACAGCCAATTAGCATCAGTACTTGTAATCAAATTGGGTTCTTTTCCACCCTTGGCATTATAAAGATTACCAGTACATCATAAAGCAGAAAATCATTACTGGGAAGCAGTAGCCAATCCTTTGGGTAAAAGCCAGCACTTCACAAAGCTGCACGCACGGCAGGTCTTCCATTTTTAAATGGTAATAGCAAAAGCTGGTTTAAAGGGGGGGGGGGGGGGGGGGGGGGGGGGGGGGGGGGGGGGGGGGGGGGGGGGGTGGGGGGGGGGGGGGGGGGGGGGGGGGGGGGGGGGGGGTGGGGGGGGGGAAGTCATGTTCCCTGGAAGGCTGCAAATACTTACCCCAATTAAATTACTGAGACGGCATAGAGCTCAGACTATTGTGCAGGCTTCTGTGCTTTAAAAATAGAAGTAGCAAGTTGTGGAGAGTAGCCCTTGTTACATCCAGTATTTTTATTTGTTTTGTTATATTTACGGATGCTGCATCTGGGGCTCCTTTTTGTGTTTTAAACTTCCACTGCTGGCATGTCCACCTATCTTGTAGGGCAAGGTGGCTAAAACCAATGAATAGTCATTGCCCTTGTTGCAGGAAACAGTACTAATTGTTTAGCTAAACTGTATGTTTGTACAGGATGCATACATGAGGTGTCCATTTTGGTCTGCGTGGTGTTTTTAGTGTTCAGGGATTCCTGTGTTTGGCACACAAACTGTTAGGCGACTTAATGAAGAATTAAGTCATATAGTAAGTGCCAGTGCTGTAGTGTGGCACATGTATTGGAGCCAGCTGTGACCACTCTCTTGGCCCTGGACCACCCTAGCTGTGCCAGCACGCTGCTCACTTCCACCTCCACAGCTCCTCCTGAAAGAACAGCTAGCCCATACTGAGCTCTGCAGTATTGAAGCTATGCACTCTATTATACTTTCAATCAGCCTGCATTATAGTAGTTATTTTTAATAAAGATTTGTCTAAGCAATCAATTTATTTTGCCCTTTAGCAAAGAAATTACTGTAAAAGCTTGCCTGAGCAAGACTTGAACACAAAAATAGTGAGACCGTCCTGTCCTTAATTCTGTGAATTTTCATTCCCCAAATGCCCACAGAATCACAGAATGGTTTGGGTTGGAAGGAACCTTAAAGGTCATCTAGTTCCAACCCCCCTGCCATGGGCAGGGACACCTTCCCCAGACCAGGTTGCTCAAAGCCCCGTCCAACCTGGCCTTGAACCCTTCCAGGGAGGGGGCAGCCACAGCTGCTCTGGGCACCCTGTGCCAGTGTCTCACCACCATCACAGTGAAAAACTTCTTCCTTACATTGTAACCTAAATCTACTTGCTTTCAGTTTAAAGCCATTAGCCCTTGTCCTATCACTACATGCCCTTGTAAAAATTCCCTCCCCATCTTTCCTGTAGCCCCCCCTTCAAGCACTGGAAGGCTGCTATAAGGTCTCCGTGGAGCCTTTTATTCTCCAGGCTGAAAAACCCCAGCTCTCTCAGCGTGTCTTTGTAGGAGAGGTGCTCCAGCCCCCTCATCATCTTCATGGCCTTCCCATGGACTTGCTCCAACAGGTCTATGTCCTTCTTACACTGGGGGCCCCAGAGCTGAATGCAGTACACCAGGTGGGGTCTCACGAGAGCAGAGTAGAGAGGGAGAATCACCTCCAGCGACCTGCTGGTCACGTTTTTCTTGATGCAGCCCAGGATGCGATTGGCATTCTGGGCTGCAAACGCACATTTCTGGGTCATGTTGAGCTTCTTGTCAACCAACATCCCTGAGTCCTTCTCCGCAGGCCTGCTCTCAATCCATTCTCTGCCCAGTCTGTATTTGTGCTTGGGGTTGCCCCAACCCATGCACAGGACCTTGCGCTTGGCCTTATTGAACTTCATGAAGTTTGTATGGGCTCACCTCTCAAGCCCGTCAAGGTCCCTCTGGATGGCAGCCCTTCCCCCCCAGCGTGTCGACTGCGCCACACAGCTGGGTGTCATCAGCAAACGTGCTGAGGTGCGTCTCAGTCGCCCTGTCCATGTCACACCACAGATGTTAAACACGCCGTCCCAATACTGACTCTGACGAATGCCACTTGTCACTGCTCTCCACTTGGACATTGGGCCATTGACTGGAACTCTTTGAGTGCAACCATGCGGCCAATTCCTTATCTGCTGAGGGGTCTGTTCTTCCAATCCGTGTATCTCCAGTTTAGAGACAAGGATGTTGTACAGGACAGTGTCAAATGCTCTGCACAAGTCTAGGTAGATGACATCAGTTGCTCTTCCCATATTCACCAACACTGTAACCCTGTTGTAAGAGGCCACTGAATTTGTCATGCACATTTGCCCTTAGTAAAGCCATGTTGGCTGTTACCAATCACCTCATTATTTTCCATGTGCCTTAGCACAGTTTCCAGGAGGATCCACTCCCGATCTTGCTGGGCACAGAGGTGAGACTGACTGGCCTTTAGTTCCCTAGGTCTTCTTTTTTTCCCTTTTTAAAAATGGGGATTATGTTTCCCCTTTTCCAGTCAGTGGGAAGTTCACTGAGCTGCCACGACTTCTCAATATGGGTAGTGGCTTAGCCACTTCATCTGCCAGTTCCCCCCGGACCTGCAGATGTATCTCATCAAGTCCCATGGACTGTGCACCTTCAGGTTCCTTAGATGTTCTCAAACCTGATCCCTAAAGTGGGCAGTTCTTCATTCTCTCAGTCCCTGCCTTTGCCTTCTGTGACCTGGGCAGTGTGGCTGGAGCACTTGCCAGTGAAGACTGAGGCAAAAAAGTCATTGAGTACCTCAGCCTTGTCCATGTTCCAGGTAACAAGGTCTCCTGTTTCCTTCCAGAGAGGGCTCCTGTTTTCCATTGCCTTCCTTTTATCACTGATGTACCTATAGAAACTTTTTTTGCTGCCCTTGACATCCCTGGCCAGATTTAATTCTATCAGGGCTTTAGCTTTCCTAATCTGATCACTGGCTGCTCAGACAATTTATCTGTTTTCCTTCTAGGCTACCTGTCCCTTGCTTCCACCCTCTGTAGACTTCCTTTTTGTGTTTGAGCTTGTCCAGGAGCTCCTTGCTCATGCATGCAGGCCTCCTGGTGTTTTTGCCTGACTTCCTCTTTGTCAGGATGCATTGCTTCTGAGATTGGAGGAGGTGATCCTTGAATATTAACCAGCTTTCTTGGGCCCCTCTTCCCTCCAGGGCTTTATCCCATGCTACTCTCCCAAGTTGATCCTTAAAGAAGCTCAAGTCTGGTCTCCTGGAGTCCAGAGTAGCGAGCTTGCTGTGTGCCCTCCTCACTGCCCTAAGGATCTTGAACTCCACCACTTCATGGTCACTGCAGCTGAGTCTGCCCTTCAGTTTCACATTCCCCATTGGCCCTTGCTTGTTGGTGAGAACAAGGTCCAGCATAGCACCTCTCCTTGTTCGTTCCTCTGTCACTTGGAGAAGGAAGTTATCATCAACGCATTCCAGGAACCTCCTGGATTGCTTATCCCCTGCTGTGTTGTCCTTCCAACAGATATCGGAGTGGTTGAAGTCCCCCATGAGGATCAGGGCTTGTGGATGTGAGGCTGCTCCTACGTGTCTATAGAGGGCTTCATCCACTCGGTCTTCCTGGCTGGGTGGCCTGTAACCGATCCCCACTATAACATCTCCTGTCCCTGCCCTCCTTTTAATCCTGACCCATAAATTCTCGGTCAGCTCCTCATCCATCCCCAGGCGGATCTCCATGCACTCCAGCTGGTCACTGATGTAGAGAACGACCCCCCCTCCTGGTCTCCCCTGCCTGTCCTTCCTAAAAACCCCGTATCCTTCCATTCCAACACTCCAGTCGTAGGAGCCTTCCACCAGGTCTCCATCGTGCCAGTAAGATCATAGCCCTGCAGGCACGTGTGTGTCTCTAACTCATTCACCATGCTACATGCGCTCACATAGAGGCATTTAAGTTGGGCCACCGATTCAGCTGACTTACTGTCTGGGATTCCTTTGTTCTGCTCTTCAGACACTTTCTCGCTGACCTGTGACCCCTCTCCAGGCTCTGGGCATTTATTAATGGCCCTGGCATCAAGCTGGTGGGAGGGGGATGGATTGAAGTTCCTGTCCCCCAGCAGCTTTACTTCAAAGCCCTCTTCACCAGCTTGGCAAGCCTATGGCTGAAGATGCTCTTCCCCTTCTCTCACAGATGGACCTCCTCAGCTGACCAGGTTTCTCAGAGTGAGTCCCCTGGTTAAGTAGCTGAACCCCTGGCTGTGGCAGAGTCCTGTAACCATTTGTTGATTTGCCAGATTCAACTGGCCTTTTCAAACCCCCTTCCTTTTGGCCTTGTTAACTTCTCCCTTGGCTTGCAAACCTCCAGGGATGGTGTGTTCCAGGCTTTGGATGATTGTGGTGTGTTTGTTCTAGATTATTAGAGCTTCCTCCTGGCTTTTTTTTTTTTTTTTTTAATAGCACTATCACATTAAGCAGAAGTGTAAAAGGGATGGTGATGGAGGGCTTCGGAGCAGAAAATTAGACAGTCTCACTTGCTCAAGAATCCTTTATTTCTGCTCTTTATGTGTTGCCTTACATCAGCTGTCCTGGCATGGTACAACAGGGCAAACTCTTTGCAAAGTTGTGGTTTTAAAACACAACCAGCTCAACAGTCAACATCAGTATAAGGGAACTGCAGCCTTTCTAAACTTCATACAAATGAAAGGACGCTAAAACCTTTGTGTTAAGTTCACCTCAGCAAGGATATTAGTTATCAACCATTTACAAAATATACAGACATGCTTTGTCTTCAGTCTTTCACGAGCTGATTTCATCTGCTTGGGATGTACTTACCAAAGGTATGAAGTTAGTGTCTCTATGGAAACATTACAGGAGAACCCACTTTCCCTTGTGCTATTGCACCTATGGGTCTTTCCACACTAGCTTTGCTTTGGCATCCTGCAATAGAATACAGGTTTGATATGACCCTTTCCAATAGTGTTTAGACTCTTCTGCTCAGAGCAATAAGTGGATTTATTATACACTATGCATTTAACGAAAGCTAGCTCCACAAAACCACCACTAATCCACAATGCTGGTGGTACATCACACTTTTCAAGAACATGAGATCATCTAGCATCCTTTTCTTGATTTATATGAAAGAAATACTTGCTCTCTGTTGTCTTGGCCATGACTTAAAGGGTTCATCTTCAGTCAGGTGACTACAGTACAGCAGCTTCCCTAAAAGCACACATGGTAGGGTATTTGTCAGCCACAGCAGGCTGCTCTCTTTGTACTTAAGTATGAACTACTACACTGCAATAGCCTTTAGGCAATCTCTGAACAGTTTAGAGTTACAAGTAGAAACACTTCCATTAGTTGCAAATGCTTCCCAAAGGGAATGACAATTATGTTTATCTTTGTCAGCAATTTTATTTTTATTAAAAAGTCAGTATTTAAAAGTAAGCGAGATAAGAGATTTCCCCTTGTGGACTGCCATAAGATTTGTGCTCCTTCCTATACCTCTTACAGAAGTCTCTTGTCTGGTTTCAAGAAGAAAAAGGGTTGTGCTATGTGTGATCTTGGCTCCGTCCACTGCCACACAGTAGCCGCTGCCTGCCTTATGCATGGTCTGTGCTGCTCCATCACTTTAAGCAACAACTCCAGCAGTCTGCATGCACACACCGTGTGGGGAACCAACAATTCATAAACACAGTTACTCATACCTGTTAGAGGCTGAAGCTTAGCAGAAATACTGCAGCACAGAGGAAGCTCCTGGGTGGGTTAAAAAGCCCTGAGCAGGCAAACATGGAGGAGGGATTTTTTTTTTTTTTTCCTTTCTTTTAGACATTAAACAGGAAATACAGTTGTACAATCACTTTTCAAGAAGTAATACAATGAGAATGAATGTGCTGGAATGGAATAATAGAAAAAGAGGGGGGGATGAAAGGCAGAAACACTAAGAATTAAGCCATTAGTAAACAAAACTGTGGTGTTCTGAATGAAACATTGATATAAAAACTGTAATTTCAACTGAAGCTAGATATTAATTCCCCTGACTTCAGCTTTCCTATTCCACACACACTTCAACTCATGGGCATTTAGACCAACAGTCTTTCTATAGCTTGCTGCACAGACTGGATCTGAGGCTTTAGCTGTGATCCCTCCTTGATGGTGATGGAGCAGGCGATGACGGGCCGGGAAACACCACATGCCCGGCCCAGGGCTTGCTTGGAGCGCACAAACACGTAAGGTACATTCTTGTCCTCACAGAGAAGAGGGAGGTGCAGGATGATCTCCAAGGGCTCCGCATCTGCTGCCATCACAATGAACTCCGCTATCCCTCGGTTCAGTGTTTTGGTGGCTGTAAAATAAACTGAAGAGTAAGACTAGGTCCTTTTGGAAAGTACGTCTAATGAAAAATAAACTTTAGGAAACGTTGAAATTGGCATAAGCAAGAAGGTGATTTAGTGGTAGCACGAGGCCAGGCCAAAGGAAAACAGCAGCTATAGGGCCAGGGAGGGTTATTCTCCGGGTTGCACCTGGGGTAGGTGCTGTGCCCAGCGCCACCCTCAAACACAGTGCAGACTCACAAGGGAGCGAGGCCAGCCCAGGGCTGCTGATGGGTGGGGGGTTGGGGCACACCGTGGAGGGGGAGACTGGTTTTGTTTAGCCTGGAGAAGAAGGGCCAAGGTCGGAGTGGGGGGGGATGTGGCTGCTGTCTTCTACTACTTCAAGGGGACTGCAGAGAAGACAGAGCCAGACTGTCCTTGTGAGTGCACAGGAGGACAAGTCACAGACTGTAACTGCTGCCTCAGGGGGATTCTGAGGACATGCTGGAATTTCATATTTCCCCTCCCACCTTATGAGAGGCACTTAAGCCATGGGACATGGATCCTGAGAGGACTTTCTGCCCTTAGGAATTGTTTTTTTAAAAGTTTGATTAGGCAAAGTCCCAAGCCACCCGATCCAGCTGTGAAGGGAGCCACTCTCTGAGCAGGTTGCATTAGAGACCTCCAGAGGTCCTTCAACACCAATCTTTTTATGATTTTAAACTGGCGAGGCATCTGGTAATCCCAGTGCCATACCACTAAAATAGGCATGACAGGACATGCACCAGGAACACAGTTTGGGCATCTACCAGAACTGCATATAAATGTTGAAAAAATTACAGTTTATTTCTGTCCCTGAATATTGCTGAAGCAGGCTAGAAGGAGAAGACAGACACTTGCAACCCACATAGAGTTAGCCGTCCACAGCTGGAGAGAAAAGACAAGACTCTAGCCACAGTGTCTCACAAAATCCTTGCTATGATTTCTAGCACACTTTGCAACACACAGGTCTCACCTTCATTGGCTCCCTTGCGCAGCTGCTTATAGTTGCAGGATTGCTGCACGAGATCCAGCAGTGTTTTGGTGAGCTGTGCATCAGCCAGGGGTAAGCTTTGGGATTCACTTCTGCCTCACTCTAGAGGAAGGAAAAAGCAAAGAGTATTACAACAGGCGTAAAGGCGGCTTCGTTCTGCACAACATTACATAGGCATCATGTCCACCACATATACTGACTCCTGGAATCACCTCACCATTCTCATCTGGCCTGCACATACATGCTAGAAATCCACTGCGTTTTATTTCTAAAAGGGGATTCTCCTCCTGTTCAAAGTTAAAAGTAGCTTTACTCACACTGACGGCCAATTTATACCCTACAAGCTAGTAGCAGTGAACTTACACAGCAGCCTACAGGCACTTGCTGCCACGGACGCTCCATAAAATGAAGCATTTCAGTGTGCAAATTAACAAACTCGGACACGAATTTTAAAGAAACGCCGAGAAGAGCACGTATCGGATGTTAACCTCAGTGGCGCAGCGGAACAGCAGCGAAGTGACGAGCGGCATTACCGCCCGGCACGGCCGCAACTCCAACCCCCCCCGGGCTCCCACGGCCGCAGCCAGCGCGGGGTGACCCCACGCCGCGATTCTCCGCCGCCCGCCCCCACCGCCGGCCGCTCTCCCGCCAGCCGAGCACGCTGCTCCCGCTGCCCGGCGGGGCACAGCAGGGCCGGGGACGCCGAATCCCCCCCCCCCCCCCCCCCCCCCGGCTGTTCGGTCACCCCCAGCCCCCCCTCCCCGGTGTATCCTCCCTCCGCCGGGCCGCGCCGAGCAGCCCGGCCGCCACGTGCTCCCCGCCCCGCAGCCGCCGGGGAGGCAGCGGAGCCCTCTGAAGAGGAGGAGGAAGAGGAGGAGGAGGAGGAGGAAGAAGAAGAAAAGACGGGCTCCCGCCCCACTCACCATGGCCGCGGCCTGCTGCGCGGCGCGGTCGCTCCTCTCGGCCCGACTGGATTGAGGGGGGAGGAGGCGAGAGCGCCCGCGCGCGTTGCGTCGCCGCCGGAAGTCGGTGGGCGTGGCCCCGGGAGGGGCGTGGCCATCAGGCGGGGCGGGGCGGGGCGGGGCGGGCTTCGCTGCGCCTGGTTCCTCAGCCGTAGCGGCGTGGGTAGCGTCGCGCGGAGGGGCTGCGTGGAGCGTTGCAGGAGCGCGAGCAGCAGTGCACGCAGAAACGCGGCATGTAGAACCGGGGCGGGGGGAGGCACTGAGAAATCCCACCTCCTCGTTTACTTCTCCCCCTCCCAGGCAAGCTCAGCGCCTCTGGGTCGCCCGCCCGGTGCGGCGGCACCTCAGGAGGGGAGCACCGTTTCTACCCGGCCGGGCTGCGCGGGTGGGGTATGACCCGTTAAAAGGACCCTATGAAAGCACGCAGCCCTGCGGGGCGGGAGAACCGTTCTCCTCGGCCTCCCGCTCCCGGAGCCGCGGGAGGGGAACGGAAAGAAACGGACGGAACAACCGAAGGGACGGGGCCCCGCCTGGTGCCCGGCGGCGGCCCCGCGCATGCGCAGTGGCGGGGCGCGATGGCGGCGGAGGAGTGTGGCGGGCACGGGGCGCGCTGGGCCCTGCCGCTCCGCCCGCCGCTCTGCCTCGCCTGCGCCGTGGAGACCCTGGGCGACGGCAGCGCCTCGGTGGGCAGCGCCTGGGCGCCCCCTCAGCTCCCCCCCCCCCCAAACGCCTCCGGGGCTTTCGGGCCCCGGTGGCACTCTTCCCGCCTCCCCGGGGCGGGGGGAGCAGCGGGGCGGCTCGGGCCGCAGCGCTGACGGGCGGTTGTTGTCTGTGCCCCGTAGCTGGCGCGGCAGAAGCACGTCCTCTCCCGCCTCCGCGATGCCCTGGCCTGGCGGGCGCTGCCCGTCGTCCAGCTGCTGGCGCCGGACGAGAGGGTCTGCGTTCATTTGATAGGAACTCTCTTCGGTAAGAGCTCCGCTGCGGGGCAGCGCAGCAGCAGGGAGAAAGCAGTTACCTTTTTTTTTTTTTTTTTTTTTGAACATACATGTGGACTTCTCCACATCTGAAGCAAAAAAAAACCAAACCACGAAGGAATATTGAGATACCTAATTCTGTACTTCCACCAGCAAGGTGTGTTATGACTCCCTGTGGAACGCTGCCAGTCATTTGGTGTAGAATAGGTTAATTAAGCTCGCTGTTCCCCAAGGAGCAGGATTGGCATCTTCATTAAGCTCCTGGAGTGTTCCAAAGTATTTTGATGTACCTGTAGTCTTTCTGGAGAACAAGGGATGCCTGATGGATGGCTCTTCCCTGAATGCTCTACTTTCTGATGTCGTGCCTTGGTGCTTTCTTGCTGAACTGTGGCATTTTATGAAGATACGTACATAAATGAAAGTATGAGCTTAGAAAGGTGTTAGAGGATTTAATATCAAAAGTGCAACATAGTGTCTTTTTTTTTACACCATCACTTTACATTTGTAGAAATCCTTGTAGCCATAGGACCATAATGCCTGCTTTTTCCTGGTGGGTCAGACTCACAGCAGAACAGTGTTAAGCAGGATGTCAGAAAGTGCCTTTCCACTAACAGTTCTGTGATCTTGAACATCTGGTTTCTGTTTGCATAGTAGTGCTGTGGGAAAAGTCTTTGAAATGTCTGAAATCTTGATGGAGAAGACATAATGGTCTAAATGGGGGAACAGTAAGGCGGTAAGAGAAAGATGGAGGGTATGAATGCAACTGCCTTCAGAGAGCAAATATACTGGGTTCCTTTAATTCCATGATCTCATTTGCACATCACAGATAGTTCTTGTTCTTTGGGGGAAAGTGACTCAAGACAAGTCCCTTCCCCTGCCTTGACACACTGAATAATTCAAACAGTGTTTTCCCAGTTCATTTTCTGGCACAAACTGTGTTGTGCATGTTTTGGAAGCAGCTTTATTAGAAACAGAACTTTGTGCAGATTTAGTTCTCTCCGTTGTGCAAATTTTTACTGAGCACTGTCTGCACATAGTCCTATACAGATGTGGAGGAAGTGGTGCTTATGGCCAGTTCAGTCCTGCCTGTACTGTACGACCCTAACGCAAAACACCCCGTAAGTCAGGGGAGCAGTGCTTGCATTTCAATGCTCATGTGTTTTTAAACAATAATTCTCTCTCTCTTTGACAAGCTTAACAAGTTGATGGTTTGGGGGAAGCTTTGGGACTTTACTGTACTTGGTGTAACTCACAGAGCAGTTGGAACCCCAGTCTAAGCTCAGGGCTACAATGACATGTATATTTTGGATAGAGCTTGGATGAACCAAGGCTCATTTGGTGCAAGTGTTTAAGAGGGACCCCCAAAGGTTTGAGCAATGCTGTGGAGGAAGTATTAATAGTAAATTCAAGAAAGTACATTAATTTTTGGAGAGAGAATAGTGGGATAGGCACAGACAGAATAAAAAGGGTCGGAGAAGAAAGGTGTAGTGTGGAGTGTTACGTATGAAAAGATGGTGAATTTCAGGTTAGCTTGAATTTCATGCAGCTAATACTGCCATGTTTACTAATGCTGTATGCAAGTCTTTTCCAAAGTGTGAGGAAGTTACTAAGGATTGGGCAGATGAGGCAGAAAATAACTAATTTCTTCACCTACAATGTCATAACATTCCTTTAGTTGGTCAAATTTCTGAGAGGCCACGGAGTCTCTGGAGGGAAGGTAATTTGATGGATATGTTGAAACAAGTGGTTTGGTGTGGCTGAAGTGGGGGTTTGAACCAAATGCCTGTTACTGTATGTACCTGAAATTGGAAGGAGCTGGGAGATAGTTTCTCATCTGTCATGGTGTAGTAGAGTGAGACTGTGGTGTATTTTAATATATACACTCTTGTGCTCTTGTACAAATGGCTTGTGAAATTGTGCCTTCGGGTTCAGTTTAGCACTGGAATAGTTTCCATATGCTTTAAACCTGGTGTTCAAATTTGGTTTGGGGATTTTCAGTACTGCGGAGGGAGAGGACTGTTCATGGTATGAATGGAAGATAGGAAGGATAATTCACAGCTGGGCTCTAACTTCTGTCATTCTGGAGTGTTGTTTCAGACGTACAGTACTGGATACGTGCAGTGAGATGTGGTGATGGTAGCAGTTACATATTTACTTACATAGGTGGAGCCCTTGACTTCAACTATAAAGTACATAAAAAATTTACAAGAGAACCAAATGCCTTCATGTCCCTGTGCCCTGCTTACGGAGGTGCCTTTTGTGATACTCCCTGAGAGTATCCACCTTCCTCTGACAACATCAGGCTGGTGTCATATGAAGTGGGGAAAACATAACAGTTCTGAAAAAAAATGTGCAGCTCCTTTTACAAGAAGGCCTTACAGCACTGATGATCACAAGCAGGAATGAGTTCCATGACTGACTGTGGCTTATCTTTCAGGGATGTTGCATACTGTGGAAGACAGCAGTGCCCTGGACCTGTTTGTAGAAGGTGAGAGGCAGGTGCCATGTCTCAATTACTGACAGTTTGTGAAAGGAGGCTCTGTCTTGTCTGATAACTACAGTGAGATGCTCAGCTTCTGCACAGCTTGAATTGGGAAGACTGTCTATTTTCTATCAATGCAACAGCGATGAGCAGACTGTTACAATATTTGGGGGCACGGGACTGTGTGCAGATTTAAATATTTAGCATTTCTCTCACAGGTTCTGTGTGTGCCGTAAGTTTAGTGTCAGATGGGTAACAGTGGTAAACGATGCCTCATCTTTGGCACCTTTGGACCAGACCAAAGTCTCAAAGCAAATGGAAATTTTCCTGAAGGCTTCAGTGAGCTTTGGGATCTACTGCTTTCTCCTCAGGACAGAGGGTATTTGGGATTTACCTCTACAGGCTGCAGATTCCTCTTTGGGAGCAGTACCTCATTTGAAATCTGAAGGAAACGCCTGCAGGGCTGACAAAGGAATTGCTGCAGTCCAGTTAACCTTTGGCATCTCTGCTGAGTCTAGTGATATTAGTAATGCAATGATTTCCTCCTGTGCCTCCATGAAAGATGAAAGGAGGTGTGACCAGTTTCTTCCAGAGGGGTTTCAGTTTTCAGGCACTTGAAATGGTGTTGAAAAGGTGAGAAGTCTGTCATGTTACCAGTCTGTTGAGAGATGGATGCTCTCAAACAGAGGAATTTTAACTTAGTGCTACCTAACTCTTGAAAGTTTTTAGAGATTCTGAGAGTTTGGGGCAAGAAAGAGCCATTAAGCCATCTATAAATCACCTGTCTCAAGATATGCCTCTGCTGAGGTGTGTAGCTCTGTAGCTAAAGTAGGTCTCCTTGATGAACCTCCAGTAGTGCCCTGGATACACCAAGAGGTAATGAACTTAGAAGTCTCTGGTATTTTTTTTTAATAATGCTTTCCTAGAATACAAATCAAAGGAGTGTGTTTTTCACGAGTCATGCTACCACAGTAAGATACATCCCAGACAGCCTTACCAAATCCTATGGAACAATGTTCTGCACAGTGTCTCAGTAAGGGGGCTATTGTCAAAACTTTGTCTGCTGAAAATTCAGGTGCCCAGGTTCTAAAAATACCAGAAGAGGAACTCTT